CAGGAGCTTCAGAATATGACCAGGTCCCAGATACAATCTTACTACTATCACTGTTAAAGGCCCCTTGAAGTGCTTTGAAATGTGCATTTTACATTTAATATTTGATGTAATCTCAAATGAAACATAAAGTAGCTCCTCCCTTTTTATAACAACAGCCAGTAGCGTTTTGCTTTATCACAGCTCTGCCAGTGAGTGGTTAAGCTCAAGCACATCAAATGAAAATTAAATGAGAAGGGGGCGGGGCATGTCTGACACTAGAGGGCATTTGATTGGTCAGAGGATTTGATGAGAAACTGAAGTTTAAGGTGATGTGGAAGAAATCGTTGATCTATTTAGGCGGAAGTGACAGACTACAAGCTTTGGGTGTTTAAATGAGTTTTATATTTTTTAAATGTGAATTTTGCCACTGTTTTGGAGCACACTAGCTTAAGGATATTCTTAACTAACACATAAGAAATTTTATTTCAATTTCACAGGACCATTAATGTTGTTTCTCAGAAGCCCAATAATATTGTAATGCTCTAAATATTGGCACCATGTTACTGAATTCACTGTCAGAGTCTTATATTTTTGTGTAAAACATTCTAAATTATCCATATTTTGTTAATAAATTAAAGAACCTTTTTTTTTTTTAATTAGTCAAATTTGATTGTATTATGACAAGATGTGGGCTTTTACTGCATATGTTAATGCAAATTAGCACTATTAATAAACTATTGTTTCTTGCTTGCAGTCAAACATGAAATCAAAAGCACAACTCTGTTTACACAAATTAAGTCATCCAGATATAGTTGAGTATTTACAGAGAATATGTTGCGTATATTGTGTATACAAACGCTAATCTTGCAATTTTCTCACAACATTCATATAAAATATAACCGCATCATTTCTGCAGTTTGCAGTTGCTTTAGGGCTCTATTTTGACGATCCATGCGCAAATTCCAAAGCGCAGGGCACAAAAGCATTAAGGGCGTGTCGGAATCCACTTTTGCTATTTTAAAGACGGAAAAATCCGCTTTGTGCCGTGGCGCATGGTCTAACAGAGTTGAGCTTATTCTCTTAATGAGTTATAGGTGTGTTCTCATCTCTTATTCCCTTTAAAGCCTGGTTTATACTTCTGCGTCAAGTGACCGGCGCAACTCACGGCGCAGGCAACGCGCGCAGCTGTGCATTTATACTTCTGCGCGCTGTCTCCGTTGGTCTGCATTAACACTTCCGAAACGCTAGTGGGCAGTGAGGTGTAAATGTTCCTCTGTGTCGAGTTTCTTCGCTTCTGTTTTGCTATTCTGAACACTTCCTGGATGTACAAGTGACTCAAACCTGCTCATTTTGAGGCAGGAACCGGCGGACGTGCAACAACTTTAACCATGAGGTAAACACAGAACAAAACTTTCCATCTGGAGCTCCTTCATGGGACTCCACACTTGTAAACAATCGCTCGCACCATTCGCGCGGCTTTCGGTCCCGCCCAGACTCGTCGGCGCTAGCAAGCCGACCAATCATAGAGCTTGCGCTACGCGTTGTTGCGACGTGTGGTTACAATTTTTGAGAGGTGCACGTCAGTGACGGCGATGGCCACGGCGAAGGGCTATGCGTTAGCGCCGTAGCATACGCCGGTGTTTGACGCAGAAGTATAAATCAGCCTTAAGAGTCAGTTGCGTCAGTCAGTTAGTGCATTTGCTATTTACATGGCGGACTTTGTAAATGAAAATACTGAACGCTTCACTAGCGAGAAAACCGTTAAACAGAGCATCTACAGTGTGAGAATAAGCCTCCTCATTCTTTACTTTCACTCTCGTGGGTAGGGAAATGTGTTGTGCGCATAGATATTCATTAGTCTACATAATGAATTTCGTTTATTAAGCGCAAAGATTTGTTTTAAATATATTTCTAAATTCAGTTCTAATCTAATCAGCAAACAAATAAATGAACAATAATAATGAAGTGTTTTATCCTAATATACATGCTATGGCCCATATGGTCTAAAACCTGACAGGTGGGCAAATCAGCTTGTTTTTAATGCAACAAATATAAATATGCATATAATAAATAATACTACTACTAATAATAATAACATTATACAAAAGCAAATTGTTATGAATAAACTGAAAAAGCTCCCAGAGGTGAAGAAGGCATGGAGGTGGTGGTTTTTTATATTTATGTAGGCTAGAAAATAATAATTTTTGTAATATTGTAATCCTTTTATTCTTCTTCATTTGTAAAGATATTTGCGTATTGTTGGACACCCTGTCTGTATTAAGCAATGTGTCAGAGCGGCGCACAACTTAAAATCTCTGCTGGACTATAGACCTGGTCTGGACTATGGAACAGACTTCTGTAGTTCCTCAAAATAGCAACGTTCCAACAATGCGCCTTAATACGCCTCCTTTTTTTAGACCAGAACACCTATGGGCGCACATATGAGCGCAAATGCATTTGCTATTTAAACAGCATGGTGCAAAACGACTCTTGCGCCAAGCTGAAACTAGCAAACAAAATTTCGTTGCGCCTTGCAACACATTGCGCCTGGTGTTTGATAGGGCCCTTAGTGTTAATGTTAGCACTTAAAATTTAAGAGTAAATCTGAAATAGTTGCATATTACCAACAGGGTGCTTTCTGTGATAAACTCTGTAATATAAAAACTTTTGTATGTAAAATGCGTCATGTATTGTTCATGTGGCTAAATTGGAGTGTGCTGGTATTGTGCAGTATACCATAGAGTAGTGGTTTTCAACCTGTGGGTTGCCACCTCCCAGGGGGCTGTGACGATATTTCAGGGGGGCCGTCAGCTCTTATTAATAAAAAGAAAAATGTTATTATTTGTAAAAAGGTTTAGTCATTTAATTTATTATGGGATCCAGGATATAGATTTTCCCTTTTTTATCCTGAATCTCTCTGGGCTTGGTAATCTGTTGTTAATTACACATTTATTCACATCATTGGCAGTTTATTCAGTAAAGACTAGAAAGTTACTAACCTGCAACAAATAGCGGGTTCATTTAAAAAGTTCAGGGGTGCTGCGGAAATGTGTGTTCGGATTAGGGGGCCACGAGTTTTGAAAGATCGGGAACTGCTGCCATAGAGTTTTAGTCTGCAGCAGCAAAACTATGACATTTGATATTATTTACACTTGATGAGTTCCTCTCTAGTCCTCAACTCATTTTTTCCCCCTTCCAGATTCGGTACATTTCTCAAACACAGGGTTTGCCTCCGGAGTATCTCTTGAGTGCCGGCACAAAGACGAGCCGCTTCTTCAACAGAGGGCCGGACTCCAGCTATCCGTTGTGGAGGTTAAAAGTCAGTACATCCTTATTTCATCGAACAGTTCAACTTGAAACTTGAACAAATCCTGATTTTTTTTTTTACTGAAACCCCATACAAAAAAAACCCATTGATTTTGGAATGAGGGAACCGGAAGTGCTAAAATGCTAACTCGCTTCCGGGTTTTTGCATACAAATTGACGTCATGGTTCCTCCACTCTATTGTTAGCGGGAAATGGGCGTTTTTAAAAATGTCTGTACCGATTGGTACTGAATTGCAGTACCCTACTGTCGCTGTGACTGATTTCCACTAAATATTGTTCTTATCCTATGCAATGCAAAAATCTTATCAATCCAGTTGTGTTTATTCAGCTTTCAGATGGTGTTATAATATCAAACACAAACGGTTTTGTGATCCAGGGTCAAATAAAAACAATGTTTTATTAGACCAATTCTTTTTTTTTTTTTTTTTCTAGACCCCATCTGAGCATGAATCCGAAATGGGTATCAAGTCCAAAGAAGCGAGAAAATACATCTTTAATTGTTTGGATGACATGATGCAGGTGAGTTGAAATGTGTAAAATGGGATGCTGTAGAAGGATAAAAACCTGTGATATTTATCAGTGTAAAATGTTTTTGCTTTCCAGGTCAATCTGCCGAATCATTTAGAAGGGACGGACCTGTTGGCGGAGAAGGCGGACCGACGGGAGCTGATTGACCTGCTGAAGAGGATGCTGAGGCTGGACGCCGATAAAAGAATCACACCCACAAAGACACTGGCACATCCGTTTGTGACCATGAGCCACCTGCTGAACTTCCCACACAGCTCACAGTGAGTTTACATGAAATCAAAACTAATCATGTTGATTTTGTTAGCTCACATAGCTAGTTTTGTGGTGAACAAATCATCTGTGCGTGTCATTAGGGGAAAAAAGTAGTTTGGCCTTGCACTTCCTGTTTAGTTTCAGTTAAGATTCTCAGATAAGGTCTGTCTGAGGTGTTGGGTGAGGCTAACGTATTAACCACGCCCTTCCAGCTGTCAGTTTGACAACAAACAGAAATGGTGAGCGGGAGGAGTCTGTTAGGTGGTAATAGCTCTCCTCAAACCCTTTTCCCCAGCTTTCTGAATGAAACTATTGAGGAAGTATTGCAGCTTGCATACTCTTGTTACACACTCAAATGCATGTAGTTTTTCTCCTCTTTTACGATGTAGTATAAGTAGGCGAATTGGGATGCAGCAACAGCTTTGGTCGATTTTGTTTAGTTTGGTTTCTAACTGGTGTTCTTATAACTTTTTCTAGTGTTAAGTCGTGCTTCCAGAACATGGATATCTGCAAGAGAAGAAACAATAGCTTTGACAGTGGGAAGGCCCTGTTTGCTGCTAATACTGTTCCTGGAACTGCAGGAAACCTAACTGTGACCTTCAGCAGCCAGCTTAACCAGCACAGTCAGGTGAGGAGAACTGCCTCCGCTTCCAAACACACACTTGGGGTGCTTTCACGCCTAGACTTTTGTTACGGAACCTGTCTCGTTTGCCCAGTTAGCGCAGTTCGTTTGGCATATGTGAATCCAGCAACCGTGCTCGGATCCGCGCCAAAACAATCGCTCTGAGATCGCTTGAATGAGGGGGTCTCGGCTCAATTGAAACAAACTCTGGAGCGGATTGATTGCAGTGAGAAAGCCATATGATGCAAGCCCGGTTTTATCACAGTGTATTATGGATGTGTAATAGGCATACGGCTATATGAAGAGAGAATTATGGGTAGGGCGGGAGGTCATTCCAGACATCCTGGAAGTTTCGGGAGTCTCCTGCAAATGCAAAGAGTCTCCCGGATGCCCCCAAACGAGTGATAATCTCCAGGAAAACGTGCGTCTCCCTCCTGGTCCTCTAAAACGTCATGCACCCTTCTCACTTCTGCCCACCGCAACCCTCTTCGCTCTTCAGACACGTCGCATGCACCTTGTCAAACACCACCAAACCACCACCTCCCCTGACAGCTGAGCGGGACTCTGCAAAATAAACCGTGAAACTCTGACTAATGTGAGGAGAGTTTACTCACACGTGACTTGTTTTAGCTCTTTTGGTCCGTTTAAAAACTTTGCCGTGTGAAAGCGAACCGCACCGATAACAAAGAGCTACAAGGTAACAGTTGTAATCCCTGTTTCAGAACAAATGAATTGATTCACAGGTGTGAAAGCACCCTTGTTCACTGATCCCTATATAGTGTAGGGCAGAAAAGGGGAACAAAAATGACTGGATACCTGCTTATGCTTACCCACATGAAAAAGTACTATAATGGAATGTAAAGTAAATACTGTTGTGTTTTTGAACCATACTATAGTGAAGTACTTGAATGAATCTGTTATGGTAATTCTACAGCTTATGCCTAGTTCAGACTGTGTGATTTTAGCCCCGATTTTGGCTCGCCAATAAGTTTTGAGAAATCGCTGACAAATGCCTGAAATCACAGGCAAATTGGTTCTCGTGAGTGACAGTCACACAGTATGAACTATCAAAGAGTGCTTTCACATCTGTAGTTCGCTTCATTTGGTCCGCACCAAGGGTAATAAATGATACATTGTTGCATTTTCTGCCGTCTTTGGGTCGTTTTCACACCACACTGCTGGCTTTGGTCCGAACCAGTTGAAACGAACCAAAATGCAGTCATCTGACAAAATCCACATCTCTCATTGGCCAGATGTTGTTAAACATATTTCCTAAACTGCTTATTGATTGGTCAGAATTCACGTGCGGGAAAATGCCAGTGAACTCCCGCAGGTAAACGAAAACCTTTAACTCTGAAGGGACGACTGCATTGGCAGATTGTATCCCTGCTTTAGACAAACTATACATTACGAGAATGAAGCGCGGCCGCGGCTGGAAAACAGTGTTTAATGCATCACTCGTCACTTCAGGAGGAGATGTGAATTAATTTAGCTAAACTGCAACATGGTCATCTTGCGGAAATATTACCCACGATCCATCAGGTAATGTTTTCCCCTCTTTTTCTCTCTCTGTTGGTAAAGTGTGGTCAACAAATATTTTTCCTCCATATCCCATAATGCACAGCGCATCGGCCTACGGCAGCTGAATTAGTCCAAAAGGCGCAGTACTTTTTGCGGTTGGACCTGTTTTAGTACGGATCATATTCTCACCACAAACGAACCGCTCCAGGGATCCTTTGAAAGCGTACCGAGACCACCTCTTCAAGCAGGTCTTGGTACGCTTATTTGGTCCGCTTTTGGTGCGCACTCGGGTACGATTGCTGCATTCTCACCTGCCCAAACGAATCGTACCAAAAGGGGAAACGAACTCTAGTGCGATTTAATCAAACTAAATAAGGCAGGTGTGAAAGCACACAAAGACCAATCTGAGAGAATCGCCGATGAGTCGCTGATGCCTGTGAGATATTTGGCTTGCTGAATATCTGGAGCTGTTAGCGATTCAAATCATGCCGTGTGAAATGAGTTTTGACTGAAAATAACATCGGCGATCGCCTACAGACTAGAGAGAGCAGCATTCACTTGCGTGTGTGTGCCTGCTGGCCAGCGGGAGGCTGGGGGAGAAGTTAAAAGCGTTTATTTTCAGTTTATTTGGACCCAAGAAATGGAGGAAAAACTAGTGGAGGTTTGACAGGAGCACTCAAAGTTAAAAAAGAAAGTTGAGGAGAAATAGCTAATTCCCTTTAAACCCAGGTGAGCAAATATGTACATTTTCTACCCCATTAAAGGCTTCTTTCTCGTTTTGTAGTTAATAACAAAAGATATACTGCGTGTTTTTGTCTGTGAGACGTAATTTGGACGAAGTTGTCAGCGATTCTTCCTATTGTAGAGTCATGCAATGTGAAAGTCCCTGTCGCTGATCCATCTTGCAGTGTAAACAAAGCAGCGACGAAACACTAGCCGAGATAGTCATGCAGAGTGAAAACATCTGTGACACGACGACTTTGAAAATCATGCAGTCTAAACTAGGCATTATTCAATCATATCAGACTTTGATTTTGAGTGTACATCCGATACATTTCCCAGTGTGAATTGTGGGTAAAAAAAGCATTGAATAAAGGGGGAGTGAAGGCTTTGACTCAGATCTGGGACACCTTGGCTGTTTCTCAATACGCTTTCTTCAGCGGTCTTGCGTTCTCGCGTAACGTCATCATCAGCGGGTGACCTGGCAAGACCAGTCTTCACAAGAACGCAAGTCCATTCTCTGCGTTGTAATTGAGAAACAGCCGATATATAGTGCACTATATAGTGGATGGGGAGTGGTTTAACGGTCTTTAACACTTGTAAATGTTCCCCTCAGGTTCCCTCTGCTGGTGGAGCTGTTCCTCTCCTCAACTACCAGCCGGCTCTTTACCAGCAGGCCACCATAAACATCCCAGGCCTGGCTCAGCCCAGCATCCCCCTGCAGACCCGCTCCACCCAGCTGTGTGCTCAGACCGAACCCTTCCAGCAAACCCTCATCGTCTGCCCACCCACCACTATACAAGGTGAGCCAAGTAGGATGAGGATTATTTTACGGTTAAATGCTCCTCTTAAAGCTCAGGTGTCAAGCTCCGCAGCTCTGCACAGTGTAGCTTTAACTCTAAGGCCTCGTTTACACTAATGCGTTTTAGTTTGAAAACGCGCAAGTTTTGCTAAGGTTACGCCATCTGTCCACAGTACGCCATAGTTTTGAGCGCCTAAAAATCGCATACCGATTTTAGCGTACTGTATAGTATGGAAGTATGCGGTTTCGGACGCAGCCCTATTGACTTAATAGCCTCGTCCTAAAGGAATGAAAGCCCCGCCCTAATGGTGTTCCATGTGACCAGAAACGAAAAGTCATTTCAAGGGGGCGGGGGGAGGTTTTTGATAAGATTATCAGGGCAAATTATTTTTTTTTTTAGTGCACAGATACATTGTTTATAACAAGCACTACTATATACATATAATGATAAGAGCAATTTTAATTTCGTGGCATGTCGCAATAAGTTGTATTTCTTGATTCTGTTCAAATGTTTCTCAAACTTGATGATGCTCAATATATTTGCTTTCCTTGTAGGGCTTCCATCCTCTAATAAAACCTCTAGCTATCCTGTCAGGATGGAGAACGGCGTTCCTGTTGTCCAGCAAAACCAGTCCTCGCAACCCCTGCAGCTTCAACCCAGCATGCTGACACAGGTACGGCACACAGCACATTGGTCTCTGTCAAGCCTTTAGGGCAAGTCATGTCACTCGCTCGCCATCTTTGAAACCCCTCTCAGGCATTCTGTTTGAATGGGGAAACGTCAAATTCTCCAAAATTTCTTGCCAAGCTTCAGATTCAATTTCATATTAGGAATCGCAGATGAAATTAAACGACGACTGTCTCTTCAGTTTCATTTCTTAACATTCGTTTCACACAAAATCTGCAGAAACTCACGTCTGGTCTGAGCCCCTCCCCCTGAGAATCGTCAATCTATATCGATCGCTGATTGGCTCCTGCACTAAAGGGCGGGGCTTCATTCGACATGCTGACTGTTAAACCTTTCCCCATTCAAAACTATAGGAGTGACGAGTCTTGTGTATATAGTCTTCAGTCAAACCGACATGATGTCTAACTCTCCGCTGCTTCATCAATGCCCTCTGATGAACTGAGTCCAGTTGAGTAGGAGAGGCAACGTCAGTTCTTAAATCTGCATGGATTCACTGCTGGAGAGTGCCAGTAAATGAGATCACAGCCTTGTACCCTTGACCCCAGTCTCACCTTTTGTCTAATCTTTCCGTGCTTTATTCCCCCTTTCCTCCTCCATGGTGCGCCTCCTCCATAGGGCTCCTGCACGCCTCTGATGGTGGCCACGCTGCACCCTCACCCAGCGGGAGTGGCGTCCCAGTACCCGCTGCCCCTGGCGCTGGGCTGTGGGGCAGGACGGCCCGCTTTGCTGGAGCAGACAGCCACAGTGCTGGTAAAGAGAGACCCACCCAGCGTTCTACCACTAACAACACCATCATCATCTCTCATCATCTCTCCCTTGCTAATCCTGCTTTATTTTCAACGTGTCTTGATTTCTTTGCGATCACTCTTTAATAGAACTCCGCTTAACAGAACTCTTTCTGATCTCTCTTTGATAGGGATGCACTAAATATTTGGCGGATGAAAATTATCGGCTGAAAATAGCATTTTTGGGTTTTGGCCAATTAAAGGGCCATGAAACCCCCTCGTTTCAGCAGGGTGTTTTCACACCTCTACTTTGGAAAAAGTCAGAAAAGTGGGCGTGTCCAGCTCTGTTTAGGGGGGAGTGTCGGAGGAACTAAAGTGGGAGGGTATGGGAGTGTCTATTTGGGCACGCGCGAGTTTCAGTCAAAATACACACAGGAGAAAGTGATGGTGTTTAACCTACATGGACATCTGTAGTCGAATTATTTGCCAAATTATTAAATGGTGGACTTTAACTGCAGTTTGGCTCTTTCATTCAGGGAATTCATTCATGCCCCTCGCGACAAACGAGATATTTGATTCGAGGAGCTGATCTAAGCGTGTATTTTTCATGCAATGTTTGATACCGCACGGCGAATGAGAGAAAAAAAACTCAGCATTTCCCGGAAACTTAGATGCACACGGCAGGTAGCGTCAGAAAGCCGCGTGTGTTATTCCGGTCATAAAATGCGGTGCTAACATGTTTGCACTCAATGCAATAGTTAACTTTATTCGATACGAACAAACTGAATAAACAAAGAGCACTGGTCGCTCACTTACCAAATCTGTAGAGACAGGACAATCACCAGCAACTAGAGCCGCGTCTTTATTAAGAGAAGACTACATCCGGAATCCGGATTTCAGCGTTTGCAGATGAGAACAGCTCTCAGGTAAACAATAATCCCCCTTAGACGCGTAAATTATTGTTGTCGAGCGTCGCGTACACTGTTAATCCACACGTGATCCAGATAAGCTCTCACAGAGAGAAAATGAAAACGAAACTTAATGGCAGCAAACTATAAAAGCAACACTTCACGCTTGTTTTGCCAACACAACGTGGCGTCTCTGTGGTGTAAAGACGATGACACTAATGAATATTAATGAAGTTGCACAATAGAGCGCGCTGATTGGTTTGAACCAAGCCTTACTCATGCATTAATGCAGCACACTGTAAGACGTAATAAGACTCACTCTGGCACAGACGTCCAGTCTGCACGCTGGAATACACGCTATTATGTCATGACCGTGACGCAGCTTCAAAAATTCGTTTCAAACAGGAAGTACGAATTTGCTTGAAATAACGCAAAAACAACCAATTTACACTTTTTAGTGAAATATAGGTGTCCTAATAGTGTTTTTAGCAGTGTGGGACACATATACGACTGTCAACAGCTCAGTTTTGGTGTTTCGTGACCCTTTAAGGAAAATGACTGGAAATATGAGCTAGATTTTGATCACACCGAATGCGCTTTTTTGGCCCGTTTCCACTAGAGGTGTGAACCTACACTAGTCTCACGGTTCGGTTAGGTTACGATTATCATGCCATCGATTTGGTTCAATTCGATATTTCAGTGCATCTCGGTGCATTGACGGTGCTTTCCATACACAGTTTTATATTTTCTTCACAGCAGCATTTCTTGTATTAATGTATGAATATATTTATATACTATTTGTAATACAATTTTGTCATTTAATACAAACTGTCAGAGATATAAACTGTACCTTTAAACAAAACGAGCATTTAGCAAATAATATAAACAAATATTAATATCCAGCTCAATTTCTGATCCTTGTCTAGTTCTCTTACACCCCTTTGATTGGTCACCCCCTCAAAAAAAAAATAAACGGTTGCAATTGGCTCTTGTGCGCTGCGCTCTTAACAGATGAGTGATGCTGACAAGCGGCAGGCGGCAGCGGCGATCGCACAGCTGATGTATGATAGACACGGTGGAGAAAACTCTGCAGACACGCGCTCGTTTCTGGATGCAAAAGTAACGCTGTAAAACAGCCGAAAAGAGAAGAGAAGCCACGCCAGCAGGTCAAATGGGACACTGTGTGTGTGTGAGAAAGAGAGAGAGAGAGAGAGAGAGAGAGAGAAAGAGAGAGAGAAAGAAAGAAAGAAATGGAGTAGGCTACTTTCATTCTCTCGATCTCAGTGAAATAGGGGCTTTTGTTGTATATGTCAGTGAAAGACTGATCCAGCAAACACACACAGTGAAATTGTGCAGTTTATGAGTTTTAAGTAGTTAAAGCGCTGTAAACACTCGCGATCGCCTCCCTCGCGACAGAGCGCATATGAGGTAAATGACGTCAGTAATAACCGGTTATGATTATTACTGAACCGATACCGAATTGTCCGCGTCTGCATCGCAGTACACCGAAAAAACGATTATTTTTGACACCCCTAGTTTCCACTGAGTGGTACAGTTCGGTACGGCAGGGGCGCCTGCAGGATTTTATTCCAAGCACAAATCCAGCACTGCCCTCCCCCTTCCGCCAATCATGTCAGACACACTGATGCTTGCTGTCAAAGGCTACATTATTTAAGGGCATTAGTTGTGACATAATTTGTCGTTGTTTCCTTTTTAGTTGTAATAGTTCACTGAAATCGAAATAAAAGCACATCAGCACCAAAGAAAAATCAGACGCTCAAGACGTAATCTTTAAAATTATGACATATTAAAAAAATTTGCAAAGATTGTAATACAATACAGTTAGTGAAGCATCTTTACCTGCAACGACCGAAAATCATCCACCCGCACAGTGGAGTAGTGGACGGGCTCAAACTAAAATATAATTTGTATATTTTTCTTGCAAAAGAATATCTTATTAAAACGATTTACGTAAAGTTTGTCTCTTTGTTTAAATATTTTTCTTGGTCAGTTATCTTCTAGATAAAACAAGAACGGATACCATTTGAGGTGAAGGGCTTCAAAACAAATCAGCTATATGCTTCAGCAATGCCGAATCACAAACTGGATTGTCAAATAAAATAATAATAGCCTAAATTAAATTAAAGTGAAATATTCCGTTTCTGTAGCCTAAATTAAACTGTTTTCCATGTTGCGCCGGTCAATTATAATTGAATTAATTTAATAAAAAATTTGAAAGAGCAGGACAGGCGTTTACAAATTCGCATATTCGCAACAGCACTAAACCTGTTCCCACATTTCCTCAATGGAAGAAACTCGGCTGAAGGGTGAGACAACTCAGAAATTCGTTGTGAGAATGGAAATGTCTGCTTATTTATGCCAGTTCGTCAGAAAAAATTGCGAGGAGGCTGCGATGCAGCTGGGTCTGATTAAAGAGACAGTTTCTCCGGCTGCTGATTAGACTGCGGTCTCCACTCCATGTGGGGGATCAGTATTTGTCTCATTAGTTTTAGGCCTTTTGGCAAACTTCTCAATTAAGTTTAGCTATTTTAAAAAAACGTTTACTAATTTTTAACCTTGATTTAATCAAAAGCTATCTGAATGGTAATTTTTAGGTGCGGAAAAACCGCCAGCAAAACTAAAACCAATAGATTTCTTTACCCATCTCCCCCCATGCAAGTACATACACACTTTAAAACACAAACGCACACCTTTATTTGTTGTTATTCTTTCTTGCTTTGTCAATATATCGTAGTGTACAGTGTTTAATAATCAATTTAAATGATGTAACGAAATTAAAAAGCCGCAATAATTTGCACCCTCTCATAGTAGGTACGCACAGTGCGTACGGCTGTACGGCTGCAGGTGCCACTGCGGTACGGTACGCTTTTATGACTGTTTTCACTGTCAAAGACATACCTGTCAACATTGGGATGTGAAAATGTGGGACATGCCCACCATAATAAAGGGAAACTTTGTCGTACACCACCCTTGGTACCCTTTAAGGCTGATTTGTACTTCTGCGTCAAACATCGGCGTATGCTACGGCGCTGACGCATAGCCCTTCGCCGTCGGCGTCACTGACGTGCACCTCTCAAAAAATTTACTACACGTCGCAACAACGCATAGCGCAAGCTCTGTGATTGGTCGGCTTGGTAGCGCTGACGAGTCTGGGCGGGACCGAGAGCCGCGCGAGTGGCGCTGGCCCAATGGAGCGATTGTTTACAAGTGTGGAGTCCTGTGAAGGAGCTCCGGATGGAAAGTTTTGTTTTGTGTTTACCCCATAGTTAAAGTTGTTGCACGTCCGCCGGTTCCTGCCTCAAAATGAGCGAGTTTGAACCACTTGTACATCCAGGAAGTGTTCAGGAAAGCAAAACAGCAGTGAAGAAACTCGACACAGAGGAACATTTACTCCTCACTGCCAACTAGAGTTTCGGAAGTGTTAATGCAGAACATTAGTGACAGCGCGCAGAAGTATAAATGCACAGCTACGCGCGTTGCTTGCGCCATGGGTCACTTGACGCAGAAGTATAAACCAGGCTTTAGGCCAGGGATGTCAAACTCAATTCCTGGAGGGCCGCAGCCCTGCATATATTAGTTCCAACCTTAATTAAACACACCTGATCAAACTAATTGAGTGCTTCAGGGTTGTTTGAAACCTGTGTTGGAGCAGGGTTGACTAAACTGTGCAGGGCTGCGGCCCTCCAGGAATTGAGTTTGACATCCCTGCTCTAGTCTGTTTCTTTTTTCTTCCTTCTGTATTTCTCCCATCTCTCTCTGTCTGTCATGATTTCCTCCATCAGTCTCTCTCCGTGCAGGTCTGCTACAGGCATGGGAGGCATGTGCTGAACTCTTCTGTGCTTTGCTTGCAGCTTCTTGTTGTGTGAAGAGTGTATTGTTGATCTCCTTCCTCTGACCTCCAGCCCCACCATCTGTTCTTCCTCCTCCTCCTCTTGCTCTCAGGGGAGGACACTGACCTGGTGTGCAGCTCAAACACACTCTTCATCTTCCCTCTCATAGCCATGTCTGTCCGCAGGTACTCTAGTGCTGCCCGTTCTGGCATGGCACATCTCTTGGCAGGTTTTTGCTCATTGTTTTCTAACTGCCATGATTCTCCCCAACAGGTTGCCGGACTGCTCTTTTTCCCGCCTCCAAATCCATCTAAATGTTTAACGCTTGTGTATGATTTGGGTTGTTTTGCATGCTGTGCTTGTCTTGGCTTTTAAAATCATACCAAATGGCTGCGCTACGTCTTTAAGCTGCCCATGGAGAGAAGGGCAAATATGATTCATTCACTGCAAAAAAAAAACAAAAGCAGTGTTTTTGTGTTGTTTCTAGTTCAGAAATCACATTTGCTAAAAGTAGAAGTTTCCCCAAGATATCAATACTGCACCAGAAACCGAAGTATTAGACATATGCACTCACTGGCCACTTTATTAGGTACACTTTACTAGTATCAGGTTGGACCCCTTTTGCCTTCAGATCTGCCTTAATCCTTCGTGGCATAGACTCAACAGGGTACTGGAAATATTCCTCAGAGATTTTAGTCTATATTGACATGATAGCATCACACAGTTGATGCAGATTTGTCGGCTGCACATCCATGATGCCAATCTCCCGTTCCATCCGTGCTCTATTGGATTGAGATCTGCTGACTGTGGAGGCCATTTGAGTACAGTGAACTCATTGACATGTTCAAGAAACCAGTCTGAGATGATTCACGCTTTATGACATGGTGTGTTATCTTGCTGGAAGTAGCCATCAGAAGATGGAGACACTGTGGTCATACGGGATGGACATGGTCAGCAACAATACTCAGGTAGGCTCTGGCGTTGACATGATGCTCAGTTGGTACTAATGGACCCAAAGTGTGCCAAGAAAATCTCCCCCACACCATTACACCACCAGCACCAGCCTGAACCACTGATACAAGGCAGGATGGATCCGCAATTTCATGTTGTTGATGCCAAATTCTGACCCGACCATCAGAATGTGGCAGCAAAAATGGAGACCCATCAGAGCAGGCAACGTTTCTCCAATCTTCTATTGTCCAGTTTTGGTGAGCCTGTGTGAATTGTAGCCTCAGTTTCCTGTTCTTAGCTGACAGGAGCGGCACCCGGTGTGGTCTTCTGCTGCTGTAGCCCATCCGCCTCAAGGTTGTGACGTGTTGTGTGTTCAGAGATGTTCAGGTTGTATCGAGTGATTATTTGAGTTACTGTTGCCTTTCTATCAGCTGGAACCAGTCTGGCCATTCTCCTCTGACCTCTGGCATCAACAAGGCATTTGCACCCACAGAACTGCCGCTCACTGGAAATTTACTCTTTTTCAGATCATTCTCTGTAAACCCTAGAGATGGTCGTGCATGAAAATCCCAGTAGATCAGCAGTTTCTGAAATAATCAGAGCAGCCCATCTGGCACCAACAACCACGTTCAAAGTCACTTAAATCCCCTTTCTTCCCCGTTCTGATGCTCAGTTTGAACTGCAGCTGTTCGTCTTGACCATGTCTAAACGCATTGAGTTGCTGCCATGTGATTGGCTGATTAGAAATTTGCTTTAACGAGCAGTAAAGCAGGTGTACCTAATAAAGTGGCCAGTGAGTGTATTTTTCAGTATGTCCTATTTTTAACGTTATCTGACTTTTTTTAATCTGGAGAGAATTTAAATAAAATATTTTTATACTTTTTTAAATCTCTAAAAAATGCTAGGATATTTAATAAAGTTTAGAATTTTTATGTTATGTATTATTAATTGCTGATTGTGTCTTTTTATTGTTTTTGTTTTTGTATAATTTTGCTTAACTGATATGACCTGAATGTTTTTTTTAGAAAGAAGTCAAAGTTAAGTGAGTTTAAACTAAGCTTAAAAGGATCATTTTGATTAAATACTAGCTTGTTTTAAGGAAGAACTTGGTTCATTTTGATTTTCTGTTAACAGACCAATATTTTATTTAATTAATAAATATTTTTATTAGATAATGCTTATTGATTTAAGAACGTTTAGATATTTTGACTTGAAACAAGACAACTCTAGTTAAAAAAATATTTTTGCAGTGTATAATTATTTATTTATAAAAATAATATATTTTCTGTTAAATTTAAAGGTGTAGTTCACCTGAACATGTAAATCCACACTGTATTTACTCAGAGTATTCGTTTCTGTTTAGCACTAAAGAAAATATTTTGAAGAAAGCTGAAAACAAATATCCATTCACATCCATCATAGTAAAAACAAAAACTATGGAGTTTAATGGTTACAGGTTTCCAGCTTTCTGCAGTATATCGGCTTTAGTGTCTAGCAGAACTCCAACAGGGCGAGTAAATGACAACACAATTTTCATTGTTGGCCGAACTGTCGCTTTGTGCATTGACGTTGCGCTGCACATTTCTTTCAGCATGCTACTTGAAGTTCTGGCATGACAGAATGTGTGAATTCAGGTGTAATGGCCATATATACATCACTGTGGTATGATCAGAGCTGTTTCCACCGGCTCTTCATTTGCAAGTGGTTGTCGTCATCATTTGTTTCCGCACTTTTCTCAGCACTACTAAGAGAGATGTTTTGTGCTTTTTCAGCAGGCCTGGCCAGCGGGCACCCAGCAGATCCTCATACCCTCGGCGTGGCAGCAGGTGCCTGGCATGACCATCCACAACTCCAGCCACCAGCCTGTTGTGAACCAATCTCCTCTGCAGGCCCTGCTGTCTGAGAACTCCACACAGCAAACATCCAGCTGGAGGTCAGAAAATACTTTCACTGTGTGCAAACAGTGAGCATGTTCAGGGCTGAACGATTAATCGAAAATAATTAGAAACCGCATTTGTGATTCTAGAAATTACGTAAGTTTCCCTATTTAATCTTGTTAAAGGGGACCTGTTTTCCTGCTGTGCTGCTACAAGATGTAAAATAAGTCTCTGAAGTCGCTAAAGTGTGTATATGTGAAGTTTCAGCTTCAAATATCACATAAATAATGCTTTCTAACTCTCTAAAACTGACCCTTTCAGGCTTTGATCCTAATTGTGCTGTTTTGGAGACTGTCGCTTTAAATTCTAATAAGACTGTGCTCTTTTTTAAAGAGGGCGGAGCTATAAATGCCTTTGTGTCAGCATAGTGGTAGATTAAAAAACAAGACTAACCTCCTATTCTAATGAGGGAGAGATGGTCACTAGTGGGCGGGGCTTTCCCCCTCTGATGACACGTACAAAGAGAGAATGTCAATCAAAGTGTTTCTGCAGACTTTATCAAGTGTGATTATGAAAAATAAAATTATTAAATGTTTAACATTCAAACCTGGTTATGTTCATCACATACCGTCTAAACCCCTATTAAAAGTTATTTTGGCATAGCAGGTTCCCATTAAAGTGTCAGTTCACACAAAAAAAGAAAGTTCTGGTATTATCCATTAGCCCTAATGTCATTTCAATCCATAAACCTTCATTGATCTTCGAACACAAATTAACGTAGCTTAATAACTGCCTAATAACTTAATTGCCTAATAACTTGCCTAATTCTGAGAGCTCTCTCATCATTAATAACATAGCTTATTAGGTAGGTTATTGTATAACAATGGTTTGTTCTGTAGATTATCGAAAAAATATATAGCTTAAAGGGGCTACTAATATATACCTTAATGGTTTGTAAAAAATAAAAAACTGCCTTTATTCTAGCCCAAATAAAACAAATAAGACTTTCTCCTAAAGAAAAAAATATTATCAGACATACTGTGAAAATTCCCTTGCTCTGTTAAACATAATTTGGGAAATATTTAAAAAAGAAAAAATTTTGTGTGTGTGTGCGTGTGTGTGTGTGTGTGTGTGTGCGTGTGTGTGTGTGCGTGTGTGTGTGTGTGTGTGTGTGTGTGTGTGTGTGTGTGTGTGTGTGTGTGTGTGTGTGTGTGTGTGTGTGTGTGTGTGTGTGTAATATATACCACAAAATTACACCCACATTGTTTGCAACAGCATTGTGATTCATCACTAAAATTAATATTTCAGTTTTAGAAAATGTTTGGGTTTATTAATCGTGTTTATTTTAATGAAGATTAAGAACTTTCCAAGCAAAAAAGAAAAACAAAATGATAATAGAGCTATATAATTTTAGTAAGGAATCTACTATATCTGCTATATTGTTTTAATGCAATTAAAGAGCATTTTTATTATACAAGACTAAATTAAATGTTTATTTATTTATTGCCACATTTGCAACTTATGGCTATTTCATGGCAAAATGGATATACATAAAAATATTACACACTTAATAACTTAATTGCCTAATAACTTGCCTAATTCTGAGAGCTTTCTCATTCTCCATATAATGTAACCGTCTCACAATGTTCAAAGTCCTGGTCCAAAGACGTTCTCTAAGACTTCAGTGGTTTAACTGTAATCATTCAGAGCTCCAAGAACAATTTTGTGCACCAAAAAACTCTATTAACATTTCTTCTTCTTGATGCAGGGCATCTCAGAGTGGTCAGCACAATGGTGTCGTCCAGCAGAACCCACATATCCTCAGCGGCCTCAATCCCACTCATTCCCTCAATAGAGGAGCGACTACAGCTACTCGCTCGCAGAACAAGAGGAGCCGCATCTGCTGCGACACCAGCAGCAGGTACTGGCCCATACACTTATTTCAAAGCTGCCTTTAATATGTTTAATTGCACATTTCAATCTGCATTTGTTCAGTCAGGGGTTTTTTTTTGTGTAAAAAGATCAAACACAAGTGCTTGATTCTTGCCGTTTGGATTTAATATTCGAGATGAGCATACATTTCATTCAAATTAGACAATTAATTTGTTTATAATTGAAACATGGCAAATGGAATGGGACGACTGCATAAATAATAAATTACATTAAATTAATCAGAAAATAATTGAAACACACTTTGCAAATTATAATTTTGAGACCAGGCATGATCAAACTGTCTATACTAGATGTCGAATTGGACATTCTAGGTTGACTCATTTATATTTACTGAATAACGAAGCACCACCTAAATGTAATTACTGCCAAGCTGCTCTTACTATGAAGCATATTTTGTTGGAATGTGAAAATTTGAATACCATTAGACAACATTTTTATAAGTAGAGTAGTTTGATGGATATTTTAAAACGGGTACCACCAGGAAGAATCTTAAATTATTTATCAAAAGTTGAACTGAAAAATCCTATTTAACTTTGAATATATTTTTTTGTGAATTTTATTTATTTCTAAGTAACTTTTTTTTATTGTAATACGAATTTTTATATATATCCATTTTGCCATGAAATAGCCATAAGTTGCTAATTTCGCAATAAATAAGTAATAAATAAATAAATATATTGAAGTTAGTCTTGTATAATAAATATGCTCTTAATTGCATATATATATTTATATATATATATATATATATATGTATGTATGTATGTATGTATGTATGTATGTATGTATGTATGTATGTATAAATATTTATATATATATATATATATGTTATCTAAGGCTGGGCTATTTATTTGATTCTTTTTATTTAGTTTATTCAGTTTTTCTATGCTGTTGTTCTGATGTATTCCGCTATTGTTATGGTGTTCTGTATGCTGTTGTTCACATGTTAAAATAAATCAGCATTTTAAAATGCAATATTTAATGTGTCACTCAAAATGGACTCGTCAATTTTTTTTTTAAGTTTTTAAGTAAATAATAATTTAATATTAATCTGACCAGGTAACCGTTAATACTTGGTTAATGAGCGGTGGTTGTTGGTTGGCAAAATTAACCGAAGTGAGCATCCCTAATATATATATAATTTATTTTTATTTTTTTTTTATATGCAAAACTTTTATTCCTATTGGTGTTTTGTGGGATTTAGTTATTTTATTTTCTTCTTGAGGCTGTTAAATGTTTTTGTACTTACCTTGTGTGTGTGTGTGTGTGTGTGTGTGTGTGTGTGTGTGTGTGTGTGTGTGTGTGTGTGTGTGTGTGTGTGTGTGTGTGTGTGTGTGTGTGTGTGTGTGTGTGTGTGTGTGTGTGTGTGTGTGTGTGTGTGTGTGTGTGTGTGTGTGTGTGTGTGTGTGTGTGTCTCATCAGCAGTGCTCTGGTGGCTTCCCATTCTTACAGCGCTCTTCTGACTCAGCCAATCATCATCTCCGACACCCCGAGTCCTGCAGTCAGCGTCATCACCATACACAGCGACTCTGAAGACGAGGATGAGCGCAAGTTTCACCCCGCCAGGTGACCACGCTTCCTAGAAAAAACCGGAATATTAAATGAGAGAGTAGTGGATGTAGCTTGTTTTTTTTTATTTACTTGAAATAATTTTACTTCTAAAAATACAGATTTTAGTAGTAAGCATGTGTTTGAATCCTGCAGGAAACATATTGGTATTTTGTTTTTCCTGTTTTATGATTTTATCCTTGTGAATATTCATCATTTTATCTCTAACACTTTTCTCTTCTCTTTTGTAGCTGCGGCCCCAGCCATAGGACGAATGTGATCAGCTGTCTGACCGTTCACGATTCGGACTCCTCCACCGCCAGTCCTTTAACCCCCAAACCCCAGAACGGTCACATCGGGCTCCAGTCCTCACGACTGGCCAAATCTCTGGCAGTGGTGGCGCCGACTGTCAAAACACAGCCTGTGGAGAGCTCCATATCGGCCAAAATCCCACCGGCTCTAGGCAAGTACTCCATTTCTTGGTCAGTTATTTTATTTTATTCTTTTTATTTCGTGTGTTGTAATGGGCAGCATTGCCTTTTGTTTTAGTTAGTATTTGTTTTTCATTATTTGTTTTAAGTTCTTTTTTTTTCCGTTTAGTTTGTTTTCCCATTTTTGTTTGTTTGTTTTTATTTATTTTTCATATTAGTTTTTTGTTTTTGTTTATTTTATTATTTTTTGATTTTGTTTTTATTTTATTGTTTTTAATTTTTGTTTGTAATTAATTTTTCATTTTGAATTGGTTTTGTTTTAGTTCAGTTTTCGTTTTTACTTTATTTTGTCTTAAATTTTTCTTTTTCGTTTGTATTTTATTTGCGTTTTTATTTTATTTTATTTTTCGTTTTGTTTCGTTTTTTTTTGGGGGGGGGGTGTTTTTTGTTTGTCTGTTTGAGAAATATGTAGTTTAAAAAAAAAACATTGGTTGTGTGTTTAGGTCTTCCCCAGAATTACTACATGAAGCCGAAGAGAGCTGCAGCTACAAGACATCAGAGCAGCTCAGGAGGAAGCATCAGTGAGCACCAACAGGAGCCCAGCAGATCTCAACCACTAAACCTCAGTCAGGTGAGCACAGAAGACCTGAGCTGTGTCCGAAACTGATCTTTATCCAATAAATACTAGTGATAAAAGAAACAAAGCTTCGAAAAACAAAGCGTCAAAACAATTTTATACAAAAAAAAAAATTTGTATAATGTTTAAGAAATGTATTTTTGTAATTTTGTCTTGAATATAACTCACCAATGTTGCTAATATGGCAGACTTAAACATGTTTTTTGTTTTGTTTTGCATTATCAATGCTTTTAACATGGGATTAAGACTTAAAAACTAACTAAAAGTGAAGAAATGCAAGTAAAAATTTCAAGTACTGATTTCTAAATTTACTTAGACTTGTATTTCACTTCAATACAACAAACATTATTTAATGTGTTCCTTGTAATTTTTTTTTCTTTTTCTTTTTTTATTTTTTTTTTTATAAATAAACACTTATTCCAATCTTGGTTCTTGCAACACACTCCATGAAAGTTGACACAGGAGCAATTTAGGACTAGTAATCAGAGAAATTGGTGAAATAATGATGTGATTTGAAACAGGTGATTGTAATTATTATTTGATACAAAAGCAGCATCCAAGAAAGGTCTAGTCCTTCTGGAGCCAAGTTGGGCTCAGGATCGCCAGTTAGCCAACAAATATGTGAGAAAATTATTGAAATGTTTAAAAGCAATGAAAGAGAGGAAAACATTTGGATATTTCCCCATCAACAGTGCAGAACATCATTAAAAGATTTAAGAAATCTGGAGGACTTTCAGTGCGTAAAGGACAAGAGCACAAGCCTAGGCTGAACAACCGTGATCTCCGATCCCTGGGGCAGTGCTGCATATCAGTATTATAAGCGAAATCACCTTTAAGCTCAGAACTACTGCAGCAAACCTTTGTCAAGTACTACAAAATGTAGTTACATCCACAAATGCCAGTGAAAACTGTACTGTGCCAATAGGAAGACCTATGTTAACTGTGTAGAAGAGCCTTCTCTGGGCTCGGAGGCATCTGGGATGGACCATCATACAGTGGAAATGTGTATTGTGGTCTGATGAATCAGTATTTTTTGGGAAAAATGAACGCCATGTGCTCGGGACCAAAGAAGAAAAGGATCATCCAGACTGTTACCAGCAACAAGTCCTATAGCCTGTCATGGTATGGGGTTTTATTAATGCTCTTGGCGAAGGTAACCTGCACCTCTGTGATGCACCATTAATGCTGAAAAGCACATGGAGATTTTGGAGCACAATATGCTGCCTTCTTCTCCAGGGATGCTCATGCATATTTCAACAAGACAATACAAAACCACATTCAGCACACATTACAAAGTCCTGACTGCAGAGGTAGAGGATACAAGTACTTGACTGGCCTGCCTGCAGTCCTGACCTGTCTCCAATAGAGAATGTGTGGCGCATTTTAAAGCACAAAATCTGATAACGAAGACCCCGTACTGTTGCCCTTAAGACTTGTTTGCAGGTAGAATGAGACAAAATGACACCTGAAACACTTCATCACTTGGTGTCTTCAGTACCTAAATGTCTTTTAAGTGTTGTGAATAGGAATGGCGACATTGCGAAGTTGTAAAAGCTTTACGGTTACAATTTTTTTTTTTTTTTTTTTAATGTGTTGCACGAACCAAAATTGGATTATTTAGAAAAGTAAATCAATCAATCAATCAATCAATCAATTAATCAATCAATCAATCAATCAATCAATAAATGTTTGTTGTATTGTCTGAAGTAAAACACAAGTCAATTTAGAAAACCACTGCTATCTGTTTTTTTTTTTTTTTTTTGCGTTTTCCATACTGTCCCAACCTTTTCTGATTTGGGGTTGTAATATTTCTTGTTATTTTTTGCTAACATTCAACGTCCTCTCTCCTTCTTTCCAGACCACTGTCTCCTCGTCTCAAGCACCACCGCCCGGGGTCATCCCATCATCCTCATCTTTGCGCCGCCAGCACACGTACCCGCCGGCCTCGTCCCATTACTGCCTGCAGGAGGCGCCGTCGTTCACCAGCACCCCCAGTCTATACACCTACCCCAACCCGGCCTCCCACATGGAGCACCTCCTCGTCCAGGGCTCCTCCCCCTCCATCCATGCCCCGCCCACCACTCACTATGCAGCCAGTCTAATCCCAAAGGACAGCATTGGGGGTGTGGTCCACGGAATCTCCGCCCACTACCAGCAACATTACCCCGCCCACCCTTACACCAGCACCACTAGAGAGAGCGGTGGGGGCGGGGCTTATAGCGGATATCAGCTCAGCCCCCGTAGGGTCCCGCAATACCCCTATATTTGAGACATATTTACAAACAAAACAACCCACCGACCAATCAGCTGCTGGTTTTTATCTGTCATATTTATGTTTTTAGAGCCTTGTCAATTAATATTGTGCATCTTAGCTGAGATCGTTTTCTTAGCCCTGACATGTTCGTTTTAATTCGTAAGCAATAGAGGAATCATGCTGACATAGAGGATCGATCTAGTAATCCAGACTAAACTCCTTACACTAATCCTTCCTTATTTTAAACTCTCTTTTTAAATTCCGTGTCGTGTTTTTCGTTTGTCGTCGTCGTAGGATATCTTCTGCTTTTTAAGTTAAGTTTTAATCGTGAAGCTGACTGGTTTTTCAACCACTGTACCGGGAGGAGGTGTTGACGGAAATGAGGGAGGGAAAAAAATGTATCATGTACCCTAATCGTATTGTTATTTAAGTTAGCGCGCTACATGTTAGTCGAATCTAAGTCCTGGTAGAGTCGTAGAGTGTATGTTGTGAGGAATATCAGTGGATATAAGGAGTAACTTTTAACCCTTTATTTTTCCTTAAGAAATTGTTTAATCATGTCAATGCTCTCGAGTTCTCCAAGGAGAAGCGAGGTTAGGTTATTAACTTTTAAGAGGTAGATGAGAATCTGACGCTACATTGGAACCTATGATAATAACACACAGATGATTCATTTTTCTGACATTAAAGGGGTAGTTCACACACAAAAAATTAAAAATTACAGTTTTTATTTACCCTCAAGAGGTATTAAACTTGAGTTTCCAGTGTTGAACACAAAATAAGATATTTTGAAGAATGTTGGAAACCTGTAACTTCCATAATATCTGGTTTTATTATTCTATAAAACTCGATAAACCTCAAAGTGGAATTAAACTTTCAAGTTTCTTTTATCTGATGAGCGCTAAAGAAGATATTTTAAAGAATGTTGGAAACCGGTAACCATTGACTTCCATAGTATGTATTTTTTTTCTTTGGAAGTCAGTGAACCTCAAGTGGAACCAAACTTTTTAAATTTCCTTTATCTGCTGAGCACAAAATAAGATATTTTGAAGAATGTTGTTAGAAACCGGTAACCATTGACTTCCATAAAGTTTTTTCTTTTCCTTCTATAGAAGTCATTGAACCTCATGTGGAACCAACCAATCAAGTTTATTTTATATGTTGAACAAAATAATATGTTTTTAAGAATGTTGGAAATCTGTAACTACTAACTTTCGTAACTTTTATAAAATCTGTTTTTTTTTTCTTCTTCTTTTGAAGTCAAGGAACCTAAAGTGAAACGAAACATTGAAGTTTTCTTTATCAGTTAAGCACAAAAGAAGATATTTTGAACAATGTTGGAAACCAGTAACCACTGACTATAGTAATATCTGGATTTTTTCTATGGAAGTCAGTGAACCTCAAGTTGAATCAAACTTTCGAGTTTTTTTTTTATCTGTTGAACACAAAATAATGTTTTGAAGATTGTTGAAAACTGGTAACCATTGACTTCCATGTTTTTTTCCTATGAAAGTCAATGGTTACAGGTTTTCAGCTTTCTTCAAAATATGTTCTTTTGTGTTCAACAAAATAAAGAAACTCAAATCTGGAATGACTTGAGGTTCATTGCTGAAATACAAATACTCTGGATGTCACTGGTTACCGGTTACTAACATTCTTCAAAATATCTTTTTTTGTGTTTAACAGAATAAAGACATTAGAACGTTTTGTACAACTTCATTGACTTCTATAGTTAAAGAAAACAAATATTATGGAGGTCAATAGTTACAGGTTTTCAGCATTCTTCAAATTATCTTTTGTGTTCAACAGAATAAATAAACTTGAACGTTTGGAATCTCTTCAGGTTCATTGACTTCCATAGTATGTTTTTTTTTCTACTATGGAAGTCAGTGGTTACAGTTTTCCAACATTTTATCAAAATATCTTCTTTTGTGGTCAACTGAATAAAGAAACACAAACATTTAGAACCACTTGTGGTTCATTGACATCCGTAATAAGAAAAACAAATACTATGAAGGTCAATAGTTACCGGTTTCTAGCATTCTTCAAAATATCTTTTGTGTTCAACTGAAAAAAAGAGGCTTTGCTTTTTGTTGGCAAAGCTTGGAACCAACTGAGCTACATTGACTTCCATAGTAGAAAACAGATTATAAGGAAGTAAATAGTTACCGGTTTCCAACATTCTTCAAATTATCTTTTGTTTCCAGCAGTATAAAGAAACTTATAAGTCTGGAACGACATGATATTCATTAACTTCCATAGTAGAAAACAAATACTATAGAGGTCAATGGTTACAGGTGTTCAACATTCTTCAAATTATCTTCTTTTGTGTTCAACAGAATAAAGACATTTAAACGTTTAGAACCATTTTGGGTTCGTTGACTTCATAGTGGAAAAAAAACAATATGGAAGTCAGTGGTTACAGGTTTCCAACATTTTTCAAAATATCTTCTTTTGTGGTCAACCAAATAAAGAAACTTGAACATTTTGAACCCCTTGAGGTTCATTGACTTCCATAGTAAGAAAAACAAATACTATGAAGGTCAATGGTGACCGGTTTCTAGCATTCTTCAAAATATTTTTTGCATTCAACTGAAAAAAAGAGGCTTTGCTTTTTGTTGGCAAATCTTGGAACCAACTGAGCTACATTGACTTTCATAGTAGAAAAAAAAGATATGGAAGTGAATAGTTACCGATTTCCAACATTCTTCAAAATATCTTATGCGTTCAACAAAATAAAGAAACTCAAAAGTTTGGAACGACTTAATGTTTATTGACTTCCACAACAGAAAAAACAAATACTATGGAGGTCAATGGTTACAGGTCTCCAACATTCTTCAAAATATCTTCTTTTTGTGTTTAACTGAAAGCAAAAAATGGAAAGTTTGGAACCACTTGAGGTTCATTGACTTCCATTATGTTTTTTTTCCCTATGGAAGTCAATAGTTACCGGTTTCCAACATTCTTCAAAATATCTTCTTTTGTGTACAACCGAAGAAACAAGCTCAAAAGTTTGGAACGTTTTGATGTTCATTGACCTCCACAACAGAAACCACAAATACTATGGAGGTCAATGGTTACAGGTTTTTAACATTCTTCAAAATATCTTCTTTTGTGTTCAACTAAAGAAAGAAACTCAAAAGTTTGGAACAAGGATAAGTAAATGATGACAGAATTGTTTGGCGAACTGTCCCATTAAGCGTGGTTTGTTTGCAGCATTTATTAGTAGTCTGCTTTTCAAACTAGAGTGCACCAAAAAGTCGCTGACCCTAAAGCTGTGTGCGTGTGTGTGCGCGGTCAGTGACGGATATTAATGTGATCTGTGGTCTTCTGCTCTGAACGACACTGTGACTGACCGCTGCGGTCCTTCTTGTCCTGCTCTCAATAACATGACGTGCCTTCACATTCTCTCCAACGCGTTTGGCTGTGTTTTTGAGTTCAGAGAACGTTTAGCATCAACCAAGAAAGTACTGTACACATTTTGTAATGTCAAACAACGATGGAAATAAAAAAACACCTCCATTGTAATGCCATCAATAAACAAACATCACAAAACATCCGATCTGTTCTGTCTGCTTGCTGTTTTTAGCTTTAAATGTTCAGTTATTATTAACTTGTGAATGCTGGTAGTTAAAATAATAACTGAAATACTGTAGTAAGGATGGTGGTGTATAGTTAATTATAGTTCATTTTACACTATATTATATAGCGCAGTGGGTTGCAAGATCACCTCACAGGAAGAAGGTCGCTGGTTCGAGCCCCGGCTGACTCAGTTGGCATTTCTGTGTGGAGTTTGCATGGTCTCCCCATGTTGGCGTGGGTGTCCTCCGGTTTCCCCCACAGTCCAAACACATGCGCTATAGGTGAGTTGAATAAGCTAATTTGGCCGTAGTGTATGAGTGTGATGGGTTGCAGCTGGAAGGGCATCCGCTACATAAAACATGCTGGATAAGTTGGCGGTTCATTCCGCAGTGGCGACCCCTGATTAATAAAGGGACTAAGCCGAAAATAAATTAATGAATGAATAAACAGGCTTAAAATATCAAGATTTGTCATATTCTTTTAAAAATGTACATGTGGTTATATTTATAATCATATTTTGATGTGTGTTTACATTTTAAATCGATTTGTTTTATGAACCTACGGAGTCCATAAAGGGACATAGAGGTGCAAGGGAATAAAATACGTTATATGGGAGAAAAAATATGTATATTTTCAAACTTTTGCGCTATATATTTATGAATAACATACTTAACTCCCAAAATGCTACATTGTAAGTGGTAAATAAGTGCAAATAACATGTTTTAACGCAAGTAATTCACATTTCTTTGCCCAAATATCAGTCAGATTTGATGAAAACACACTGGAAAAGGGCGATTTTTGCTAAAATGTTCCTAACAGTTTATATAGGTTGAATTTAATCGAACAAATTAAATTAAGTTATGTTCACCTTAATTCGTTTAGTGTAAATTCAGCCCAAATAAATGGTTTACAACCAATTACCGTAAAGAAATGTAGTAAGTTACATCCAAATAATTTTATTGGTGTGGCAAGAATGCTTATACCTTCTAATTACGCTAATTTTGTCACGGTTTTGGAGCACAATAGTTCATTTTTAACATTCATATTAACAAAACCGTCAACAGCACCTTAAAAAACCGTACTTTTTTACTTCAGGCACGATGATCATCCAGTCCGGCAGGGAGCGCCGCTCGTCAGTCAGTCAGAGCAGCGTTTCTTCTCGGTTTGCTGTAGTAATGGACGGGAAGTGCAGCGCGTTGAAACTGAAGAAATAAATAATGAGGCGTTCAAAACTCTTAACGTTGCAAGCTGTAAATTTTAGTCTCACATCTTCAGTCCTTGCTGCAGGTTTGAGCCTCTGCTGAGTGTAAATATTGTACGCGTTGTCAGGAGAAGCGGGAGCTGTGGTAAATCTCCAGCTCATCATCATCATCATCAGCTGCAAAAACAGAACAGCATTTCCCCATGAAGATGGACAAGATGAGCAAAACACGCAGTCAGTGATCAGTCTGGAGGAGATTTACAAGGTAAAAGGCAATAACATCTTTAGCTCGGTGAGCACTGTTTGATGGCTGTGTTTTTTATGCAGTATTTCCTATATTTACTGTTTTATTATTCTCTTTTATATATATATATATATATATATATATATATATATATATATATATATATATATATATATGTGTGTGTGTGTGTGTGTGTGTGTGTGTATATATGTGTATATGTATATATATATATATTTTTTTTTTCACCTGGTGGCCAGAATAATAATCTATCTTATTATCTTATATAATAAATTATCTGTTCATTACAGCTTTATTATTCTCTTATTAATGTATATTACAGTTGAAGTCAGAATTATTAGCCCCCCCTTTGATTGATTCATTTATTAAAAATATTTCCAAGTTATGTTTAACAGAGCAAGGACATGTTCACAGTATGTCTCATAATATTTTTTCTTCTGGAGAAAGTCTTATTTGTTTTATTTTGGCTAGAATAAAAGCAGTTTTTAATTTTTTAATGAACCATTTTAAGTTCAATATTTTTAGCCTCTTTAAGCTAATTTTTTTTTCAATACTCTACAGAACAAACCATCGTTATACAATAACTTGCCTAATTACCCTAACCTGCCTAGTTAACCTAGTTAACCTATTAGGAATGAGTTATTAAAACTATTATGATTAAAAATGTGTTGAAAAAATCTGCTCTCCGTTAAACAGAAATTTGTGAAAAAATTAAAAGGGGGTTAATAATTCAGGGGGGCTAATAATTCTGACATCAACTGTATTTACCTGGTGGCCACAATACAATAGTATTCGATATTTACTATTTTGTTATTGTCTCTCATTAATATTTTCTTTTACCAGGTGGCCAGAATAATACAGTATTTTCTATATTTACTGTTTTAATATTCTCTTATTAATATATTTTTCCCTGGTGCCCAGAATAATAGTTTTTTTTAATATCTTTACTGTTTCATTATTTCCTTATATATATATATATATATATATATATATATATATATATATATATATATATATATATATATATATATATATATATATTTGTACCTGGTGGCCACAATAATAATATAGTATTTTCTCTGTTCGTTACAGCTTTATTATTCTCTTATTGATATATATTTTACCTGGTGGCCACAGTACAATAGTATTTTATATATTTACTGTTTTGTTATGGTCTCATTAATATTTTCATTTTCCTGGTGGCCAGAATAATACAGTATTTTATATATTTACCGTTTTATTATTTTCATATTAATATAATTTCATCTGATTTCCAGAATATTACAGTGTTTTATATATTGACGTTTTATTATTCTCTTAATAATATTTTTTGCCTGATTTCGAAAATAATACAGTATTTTATATATCTGATGTTTTATTACTCTTTTATTCAAATATTTTTATCCTGGTTTCCAGAATAATACAGTACTTTTTTTCTATTTACGTTTTTATTATTCTCTTATTAATATATCATTTTACCTGGTGGCCAGAATAATATAGTATTTAATTTTTTTTTACGGTATTAATGGTCTCTCATGAATATTTAATTATTATAATATACATATATTTAATAATTATCTTATTTAATTGGTTTGCTGTACTGAATTAAGCTTTCTAATAGTAGTAATTTTTATATAAAACTATACTTGTTATCCATGGCCTTTTTTGTGGGTTTATTACTTGATGCTTTTTTATGGGGCATGCATGGAATATTTTTATTTTATTTTATTTTTGGAGTCTCTTCTAATGTTCTGATGAGTTGATTCAGGTGTTTGAATAGGGAGAGGTTGAAAATGTGTACTGTTGGTGTTCCTTCAGGAACAGAGTTGGGAAACACTGACCTACAGCGCCACATTGTGGCCATGGTGTGAACAAACAGGCCTTTATATTTCACCCTATATAAAATTGATCAGATCTCTTCTCTTCCTCAGTGACATTATGAATCTTCTCCGTCTCGTGTGTCGCCATAAGACAGCGCTGGCTCTCGGCGTCCTCCTTCTGTTCGCCGTCGTGCTTTTATTCCTCGCCAAATGTACATCAGAGACGCTGAAGCCGGCTGAGTCTCCAGGAGCGGCTCCGCAAGCAGAGTCCCACCAGAAGCCGCCGGCGGGGCCCGCTCGTCCTAAAGAGCTCTCGGCGTTCCTGGTCATCCTCATCACCACCGGACCCAAATACACAGAGCGGCGCAGTATTATCCGCAGCACATGGCTGACCAAACACGACCCCGAGGTGCTCTACTGGTTCGTAATCGGCACCGAGGGATTACCAGCTGAAGATCTGCAAAATCTGGCAACCGAACAAATCCGTCACCATGACCTCCTCCTGCTCCCTGACCTCCGGGATTCATACGAAAACCTGACGCAGAAGCTGCTCCACATGTACTCATGGCTGGACCAAAACGTGGAGTTTAAATTCGTACTAAAGGCCGACGATGACACTTTCGCACGCTTGGATCTTCTGAAGGAAGAGTTGAAAGTCAAGGAACCCAAGGAGCGTCTTTACTGGGGGTTTTTTTCTGGGCGAGGAAGAGTGAAAACTGCGGGAAAGTGGAAGGAAAGTGCGTGGGAGTTGTGCGATTATTACTTACCCTACGCTTTAGGTGGCGGATATGTGCTGTCTGCGGATCTCGTGCGGTATATTCGTCTGAACGTGGGATTTTTGAAGATCTGGCAGAGCGAGGACGTGTCTTTGGGAGCGTGGTTGGCTCCGGTGGATGTGAAGCGGCTTCACGATCCGCGCTTCGACACGGAGTACAAGTCTCGCGGATGCAGCAATAAATATCTGGTCACTCACAAGCAGAGTTTGGAGGACATGCTGGAGAAACACCAGACACTGCAGAGAGACGGACGCTTGTGCAAAGAGGAGGTCAAATTGCGGTTGTCTTATATCTACGACTGGAGCGTCCCGCCGTCGCAGTGCTGCCAGCGGAAAGATGGCATCCCGTGACTCTTCACACCCAGCGTCTTATGCATTTCTTTCTTCCATGTGATATTTATTTATTTATTTATTATCAATGTTGTGCGTCAGCCCGCAATAGCATTACGTAACCTTTTTAAAAATGCCTTTTAAGTGAGATTGATGGGAGGTTTGTGTTGCAGGAAAGCTGCTCTTATGGAAGTTTAATGCAGTTAGTTTGGGAACGTGTGGAAGCTGATTGCCTTAAATGGTTCGTTCACTCAAACGTGTAAATTAGCCTATGAATTACGCATCCTTGGTGCGCATCCTCGGTGTATATGACTGTTCATCTGTTTCTTGACTGTCTTCTTTCAGTCGAATCCAATGTGAGTTATTACAGAAATATGATCTTGTGCTTTCCCAGCTCTACAATGGCAAAGTGCCTCATGTTTGGGTGATTAAAGGTCTCCTGTGGTGAATTGATGGATTTTTGCGTAAGAATTTCTGTTTTAACGTTATAAACTTACTAAATGAGAGACTACCTTTCCGGCAGATGATGTAGAATGTATTAAAGTTGTGGTCATTTAATAAATTAACAAGTTTTTACCAGCAGATGGTGCTCTAGACTAGTGTTTAACAGCAGATGGTGCTCTAGGCTAGTTTTTAACAGTAGACGGCGCTCTAGGCTAGAGTTTAACAGATGATGGCGCTCTAGGCTAGTGTTTACCAGCAGATGGCGCTCTAGGCTAGTGTTTAACAGCAGATGGTGCTCTAGGCTAGTGTTTAACAGCAGATGGTGCTCTAGGCTATAGTTTAACAGCAAATGGTGCTCTAGGCTAGTGTTTAACAGCAGATGGCGCTCTAGGCTAGTGTTTAACAGCAGATGGCGCCCTAGGCTAGTTTTTAACAGCAGACGCCACTCTAGGCTAGTTTTCAACAGCAGACGGCCCTTTAGACTAGTTTTTAACAGCAGATGGCACTCTAGGCTAGTGTTTAACCGCAGATGCCGCTCTAGGCTAGTTTTTAACCGCAGACGCCACTCTAGGCTAGTTTTTAACAGCAGATGGCGCTCTAGGCTAGTTTAGCACCCTCTAGACTAGCGGCATCTGCTGTTAATAACTAGTCTAGAGCGATATCTGCTGGTAAAAACTAATCTAGAGAACTAGAGTAGTTTATAACAGCAGATTGCACTCTAGGCCAGTTTTTAACAGCAGATGGCGCTCTAGGCTAGTTTTTAAACAGCAGACAGCGCTCTAAGCTAGTTTTTAACACCAGATGGTACTCTAGGCTAGTTTTTAAACAGCAGACAATGTTCTAGACTAGTTTTAAACAGCAGATGGCGCTCTAGGCTAGTTTTTAACAGCAGATGGCGCTCTAGCCTAGTTTTTAACAGCAAATGGTGCTCTATAGTCTCCATCTGCTGGTAAAAACTAGCCTAGAGCGTCATTTGCTGTTAAAAACTAGCCTGTTAAAAGTAGCCTAGAGCGCCGTCTACTGTTAAAAACTAGTCTAGAGCGCCATCTGCTGGTAAAAACTAGCCTGGAGTGGCACTTGCTGTTAAACACTAGTCTAAAGCGCCGTCCGCTGTTAAAACTAGCTGTTAAAAGTAGCCTAAAGCGCCGTCTGCTGGTAAAAACTAGCCTGGAGTTCTGAAGTAACCCATTTTTTTTTTCTTCATTTTTTTCTTGTACTAAATTTGGCTTCAAATATCTCACATTGAATTTGACTGAAAGAAGAAAGTCACGCAGCTAGTATGCCTTTAGGATGAGTAAATCATGGGATAATTTCCATTTCTGAGTAAACTAATTCTTTAAATTTAACGAGTAGATTAACTCCTACTTTTTGAGTTGACAAAACTGTTCAAAATTAGTAGGAGTATCTGGAGGATCTGAAATTCTGTCTGCTAAAATCTTTAAGTAGACTGAACTAAGATCCCAGCCAGGTTTTCTTAGTAGCTAATTTTAGTTGCTGATTTGAACAAGCTTTGTCAACTCAAGAATGATGCGCTTATTTACTTGCTACAAAGTGAACGCACTGTTTGAGCTGTTATGCTAACAAGGCTGTTTTACAGTGCATTGTTGAGTGTCCTTTACTTATTCTGGTGATTGAGCCTGGGGGGTTGTGGGTAAAGTCATGTTCCTGCTGTATTGTCTGCATACTCCTCCCAGATACTTGACGTCCGCTGACAGAATTCTCTATTCATGATCCTGAGATGTTTAAACTGTTTCTGTTATAGTAAAATGACTCCTTCATAAATGTGAAGCAGGAATGGACGGGTCACACTAATGGTTTATTATTAGGAAAGATACTTGAAGAAGAGACGTTGATAAAGCTTGCTTATGCTTTTTCCCATCATTGTGATCAAGAAGCTGCAACGTTTTGTTTGTTTCTTGTTGTTGTTGCTCACAAATTTGCCATATGATGATGATGATGATGATAAACCTGACTTGAGAGTTTGGCCACCAGGTTTGGCTGTATTTCTAGTATTTTACGTGTTGTTGTGACTGACTTCGTTGTAAATAATGTACCTCAAATTTTATTAAATGTTTTTTTTTGTTTGTGCCGTTTTTACACATCATTGCCTTGTATGAATACTTTTAAAAAATGACTAAATATATGGCCTCACAGCCAGGGTGCGGATTATACAGGGTGGGCCATTTATATGGATGCACCTTAATAAAATGGGAATGGTTGTTGATATTAACGTCCTGTTTGTGGCACATTAGTATATGTGAGGGGACAAACTTTTCAAAGCGGGTGGTGACCATGGTGGCCATTTTGAAGTCGGATATCTTGGATCCAACTTTTGTTTTTCTAATAGGAAGATGGTCATGTGACACATCAAACTTATTGGGAATTTCACAAGAAAAACAATGGTGTGCTTGGTTTTAACGTAACTTTATTCTTTCATGAGTTATTTACAAGTTTCTGATCACTTATAAAATGTGTTCATTGTGCTGCCCATTGTGTTGGATTGTCAATGCAAGCCTCTTCTCCCACTCTTCACACACTGATAGCAACACCGCAGGAGAAATGCCAGTAAAGGCTTCCAGTATCAGTAGTTTCAGGTGCTGCACATCTTGTATTTTAATACCAGCGTCTTTATTACAAACATGCTCGGTTTTAAAAACGTTTTAAACTTATAAAACGTAAATCACAGAGAGTTCAACAGATATTTTGATCCCAGTTTATTTGCTGAACAAAAATGTTCTGTGGCCATGTATACATGTTATTATAGAAACATAGCGTCTGCCAATCGATTTGGTGGGCAGGGAAAAAAACGCACTCCTACATCGTGTTGTGGTGGGCCTCAAATTCACTGATATTTGGATCCTATTTTAATGTCAGGAAATTCTATTAAACGAGACTTGTAGTGTTTCTATCACTCTAATAGGACAGAGCACATACTATAGCCCAGTTCTGTCCAAACAGCTTACAAAAGTCAATTTTTTTATCATATGTGCCCTTTAAATCTTCTGATTTTTTAGTCATCTCAACTTTAATAATCTAATTGACTAATAATATTAAGTTAAACTTAATAAAGAAAAACTTTATTAACTTATTTAAATAAAGCAACATAAAAATACTGTATAATGTTAGTTCCTAAAGAAACACTTGCTCATGACTAGGGCCAGATAGCATTGACTGACTGTTCATTCCTTCATTCAATTTCCTTCGGCTTAGTCCCTTTATTAATCTGGGGTCGCCACAGCGGAATGAACCGCCAACTTATCCAGCATATGTTTTAAACAGCGAATTCCCTTCCAGTACTGGGAAACATTCATACACACTCATACACTACAGACAATTTAGTTTATTCAATTCCCCTATAGCGCATGTGTTTGGACTGTGGGGCAAACCAGAGCACACAGAGGAAACCCACGCCAACACGGGGAGAACATGCAAACTCCACACAGAAATGCCAACTGACCCAGCTGGGACTCGAACCAGCAACCTTCTTGCTGTGAGGCGATAGTGCTAACCACTTAGCTGCCGTGTTCCCCCAGAATGGTGATTGAAAAGTTTTTTTTTTGCACTTTATTATTTCATGTGGACTGAACACAATTTTGACAGTGAGTCACAAAAATCAGTTCCTTATAGAAGCGCTTTGAGGAAATGGATCATGATCGTGGATTCAGTAGCCTGTGATGCTGATGTGCCTCAGGTTCTCTCGCACTCGAACAAACTCCGGCATGTTTCGTAGGTCCTCTCTGCGTCTCAGCTCTTCTTGCTCATACTGTATGGAGAGAATCACAGTGACTTTACTAAACAACACAGAGTTTAAATCTACTACGCCATTTACAGTGTTTGGAAACAAAATAAAAGATCTTAATGTCAATTATGATGAATTTAAAACATTCTTGCATGAAAACTACTACAGTAATTTGATTTATAATAAATACTGTAGTGTTGTTGAACCATACTACAGTAAAAAGTGTATATATTATAGCATTTACAACTCTTTGTTAATAATTGCTGCAGCATACTGTGATATTGACTGTAGTGAACTGATAATAAATACTGTAATACAGTACATTTTTAAAACAGCAAACTGTGGTGTTTTGTAATATACCTGCAGAAAACTACACCACTGGGTCAATTGTTACTATTACTGTGTTTGTTGCGTTACCATGGCAACTATAGTTGTAGAAAACAACAGTATTGGGTCAATTGCTACTATTACTATAGCTGTTGCGTTACCATGGCAACTATAGTTGTAGAAAACAACAGTATTGGGTCAATAGTTACTATTACTATAGCTGTTGTGTCACCATGGCAACTATAGTTGTAGAAAACGACAATATTGGGTCAATAGTTACTATTACTATAGCTGTTGTGTCACCATGGCAACAATAGTTGTAGAAAACGACAGTACTGGGTCAATTGTTACTATTACTATAGCTGTTGTGTTACCATGGCAACTATAGTTGTAGAAAACGACAGTATTGGGTCAATAGTTACTATTTCCACAGCTGTTGTGTTACCATGGCAACTATAGTTGTAGAAAACGACAGTATTGGGTCAATAGTTACTATTTCCACAGCTGTTGTGTTACCATGGCAACTATAGTTGTAGAAAACGACAGTATTGGGTCAATTGCTACTATTACTATAGCTGTTGTGTTACCATGGCAACTATAGTTGTAGAAAACGACAGTATTGGGTCATTTGTTACTATTTCTACAGCTGTTGCGTTACCATGGCAACTATAGTTGTAAAAAACGACAGTACTGGGTCAATTGTTACTATTACTATAGCTGTTGCGTTACCATGGCAACTATAGTTGTAGAAAACGACAGTGTTGGATTAGGTTTAGATTTCTGTTAGTCTTTGACATTTCTGTTGTTATCATGGCAACTATAGAATTTCTTCAAGTACTTGACAATAGTATTCATAAACAGTATAGTGCACATGCAGTGTTTACTATACACTACTGTAGTATTGTGTTGGTGTCTGTGTCAGTGAACACACACCGCCTGCAGTATCTGGCGTCTCTTGCTCAGCTCTTTCTCCAGGTCAGACGGCGACTGTGAGGCTTGTTCTTGGTCTCTGTTTTGCTCCAGTCTCCTATGTTCCAGCACTCGCTTCAGCTCCGGCTTCTCTTCAGGCAGAAGACCACTGCAAGCAAGGCATACATTTGTGGTCAAAATACATAAGCTAATTAATATACTTTAGTGATTGGGTGGCAAATCCAAAAGCTATTGACAGTCTTTAAAAAGGGGAGGGGATACTCTATGCCCCGCCCTCTCGCCATGTTTAAATTGACATTACGTCACACGTTGAACAAACATGCACATTTCAAAGCACTTTTTGGGACCTTCAAAAACTACCTTAATGCAAATTTAAGGGAACAGGACTTGATGGTGCAGGAGCTCACACACACAACACACACAGGCTCAGAACGTCTTGGCTGTGTTTTCTAACAGGAGGTTAGATGAGTGTGTGCTGATTGTATCCAGACGGCGGAGGCCGTGCCCTGGGTAAGAGGCTCGCTCTGATCCTGCTGGATTGCCCCTTTAGATCACTTCTCTCATCCACACAACAGATCATACAAGCATCTTAATTTAGTCAGGAGAAAAATTCGGACACCTAAAAAGTACACTCGTCATAGAATAACGAAACCGGCGAAGCTGGGTAAACTAGCACTGTGGTGGAGTATTATAAATACATTTGCATTTCAATCAGTGTTCAAGAATGCAATCCACTCAGAAGCACTCCAAATGCTACTGGGAAATCTTGCTATTGTCACATTAATATAAATTTCAGCACAGACTCATAGAAGTTGGTACTTCTGACAACAATAACAGCACGGCGATCCATCATGAACGCCACATTCTGCACGGTTTCACGGCTTGAATGCATAATTCAGAAGCAGCTCTTCTCATAGGATAAGAAATGAATATCTCATGAATAATAATTAGTAATTAGATTCAGTGTTTAGTGTTTTCGATTTATTCACAGTTGTGATTTGCATCATGGGAGGTTGATCTCTATTATACATATTATAAAAAATAATATGTCAAGAAATAAGTCTGAAAACGTAAAAGAAAATGTACGGGCAGTTTATTACAAGGTTTTTGTAGAGTGATATACAACACCAACACAGAAAAAATAGCACTTTACACTATTAAAATGCTCATATAAATCACTTTTTTCAAACTTTTGAAGGTTAAAAGTTGTTGACAGAAATGAGAGAAAGAAAAGATGCTAACATTGGCTTAATTGATGTTCAACACACAAATCTTACATTTACATTTAGCAAAGTGACTCACAATTGAGGAGGCATTCAGTGATTCAACAAGAAGGGCAATACACACAACAAGTGCTGAATACAAAGTAACTGTGCTCAGAAAATTAAGTGCTAGAAGGGGGAGTCCACTACATCCAATCAGCTCACAGTAGGAAAAAACAAGCCACGCCCATTGTTTTCTCATTTAATATTCCGTTTCTCTAGAAACTGCTTCACAATACGGAATATAAAAGGTTGCAGCTTCCGATTTGTGCAGACTTTATAATCTCAGAACATTTAGTTTAGTGTTTCCTGACCCTTTAACTCACCATCTGTGGCTGATGATGAGCTCACGGTGTAATCCTCTCCGGCTGCAGGACTCCAGCACTGGGTTGGTCAGTTTCTTCGGACGGATCAGACCGTCTTGGCCTTCATTGGTCTGATAAAACACACTGCTGAAGCTCTCTGATGGAAAGAAATGAAGGGGTCAGAGAACTGTTTGTGTATAGTAACCATTAATGTTGTAAAGACATTTTAAACGACAGGAAAAATACCTTTTCTCTGGTCCTTGTGCGCCATTCTTTGTGAAATAACCTAATTGGGAGAGTAAAAACTGCATGATTCAGGTCCAGCAGAGTCTGTACTGAGAGTTTGTCATTATTTAATGTATTGGAAATGTTTCACTTTCACAGCACAGGGATTGAAGCAAATAATGCTGTAAGTTTTGAGAAAAGCCATCACAAAATGATAAAACAATTATACAATTATTGCAATGTACAAATAACCACAAAACAAATTATAACTAACTAATAATTAATAACAATTAACCATGGTTAACATTTTTACTACAGTATTAACCAATAAATTGTGTTTTTGTTGTTAAATCACAGTAATCGCAAATTCAATATGGTTAAACGGAATTTTTTTTACTAAAAATAAAACCAAACAATTGCTGTTAGTTTAGTTAAACCACCCACAATATATATATATATATATATATACATACATATATATTTACCACAAATAAAACCAGAACATTTCGTCTCTCCGGGTGGTTTTAAGATAAAAAAAAATCAATTTCAATTGATCAGTTTATCAGTTTTTGTTGTATTTTCACAGCAAAATAATGCTGTAAGTTTTGAGAAAAGCCTCCACAAAATTATACAGTTACTGTAGTTAAACCACGATAACCCCAAATCCAACATGGTTTAAGTTTTTGCTATAAATAAAAGCAAAGGTTTGCAGTTACTAGTTCAAACACGATAACCACAAATTCATCATGAGGGTTACAATTTTTACTACGAATAAAACCAGAAATATTTGAGGATCTTATGATCAAAGAAGAGAACATTTCACAAGATTTTAGTGTATTTTCTCAGCAAAACATAACAGATGGAAGCACATAATGCCTATACAATGTGTGTGTGTGTGTGTGTGTGTGCGTGTGTGTGTGTGTGTGTGTGTGTGTGTGTGTGTGTGTGTGTATATGCGCTTTTTTTTTCTTCCTTCGGCTTAGTCCTTGATTTTTATCAGAAGTCACCACACTTATCCAGCAAATGTTTTATGTTTTATGCAGCGGATGCACACACACATATACATATACATATATATATATATATATATATATATATATGTATACAGTTGAAGTCAGAATTATTAGCCCCCCTTGATGTTTAACAGAGCAAGGGAATTTTCACAGTATGTCTGATAATATTTTTCTGGAGAAAAGTCTTATTTGTTTTATTTTGGCTAAAATAAAAGCTGTTTTTAATTTTTTTTAAAACATTTTTGGGACAAAATTATTAGCCCCTTTAAGCTAATGTTTTTTTCGATAGTCTTCAGAACAAACCATCAGTATACAATAACTTGCCTAATTACCCTAACCTGCCTAGTTAACCTTATTAACCTAGTGAAGCCTTTAAATGTCACTTTAAACTGTATAGAAGTGTCTTGAAAAATATCTAGTCTAATATTATTAACTGTCATCATAAAAAAGATCAAATAAACCAGTTATTAGAAATGAGTTATTAAAACTAATTTGTTTAGAAATGTGCTGAAACAATCTACCCTACCCAATCTACCCAATAAACAGAGGGTCTAATAATTCAGGGGAGCTAATAATTCTGACTTCAACTGTATATATATATATATATATATATTTTTTTTTTTTTTTTTTTTTTTTTTTTCCCCAGGGATATATACAATATATATGGAAAATAATGGAGGGACTAGAATTCATACAATCTCACTGTTATGAAATGTCCAATCAAGATTATATGTCTAAGGTTGTAGCTTTGGGTTTGTTTTTCTTCTGTTTATAATTAAATCTTATCTATTTTTTGTGTGTTTTATGCTTAATGATTGTTTAATATATTTACATGACTTATATAACACCTAAATATTCAATAATATAGCATTGCTAAATTAGTTCTAAGAAATAACAAAAGTTTGTTTTGTAAAATGTTATTTTTAGTTCATTTCAGTAGTTTACCGCTTTTAAAAAGATTGGGGTCAGTGGAATAGAAATAAATAAAAAATAAATAAATATGCATTAACTGCATCAAAACTCCATTTAATAGATCAAATTCTAACTCAACAGCAATTTACAGCAAAAACTATAGTAATGCATCAGGAAATAATTATATAGGTTACTAATATGCCTATATTTTTTGTGACACAGAAGACTGGTAATGTAATAACAGTAATAATTTATCATAAATGGTGTTTTTGAACCATGCTATAGAAAGTATAATACAAGATCTTTACTATTGTATGGCTTAAAAAAACTATTTACCTTAAATTACTATAGTATTTTTGAATGACTTCAGTCGTAAATCATTAAAACCACAGTAGTCACCATTTGAAGTGGATCAAAAAAGTAAAGAATGGATGCTGTTCAATAGTTTTATGACATCTTTAATGAAAGACTTTGGTCCACTTCAAATGTTGACTACTGTATATTATCATTGGTAACATATATATTATAATTATTTCATGCCGTCTTTAATTCTATAGTGCATGTTAACACACAACTTTAATACTTTAATACTCCCTTGTAAGATGCATGATATGCTCACATCTAGTTCACAAGCAAAACATGCAGTACATTACTATAAAGTGTATACAGTAGGCATGTTAAACCTTACCTGTGTCTGGTAATATAACAGCATGCTGGAGTGCAGAAATCAGCACAGAGAGACTCTTAAAGGTAAACCTGTTGCTCCGCCGCTGTAATGCCATTAGATGTACCTGAGTAACACTGGACGCCCAGCAGGGAGCAGATGGAGGATTTACACACAGCTTCAGTCTCATTAGAAACAACCTGCTTTGTGCTGAGAAAGGTCAAGCTGCTAAGAGCCATTGTTTCCGTAAACAAGCAGCTGCGTTTGTGTTTTATTTGTTGAATTTCAGTGCGTAAAGAACAACTGCGCAAGCTGAAGCTAAACAGCCGTGATCTCCGATCCCTCAGGCAGCGCTGCATCAAGAATCCTCATTCATCTATAAGCCAGATCATCTTTGAGCTGTGGCAAATCTTTGTCAAGTACCACATTATGTAGTTACATCCACAAATGTCAATTAAAACTGTACTGTGCCAAAAGGAAGCCGTATGTTAACAGTGTCCAGAAGTGCCAATGGGTTACATGTTTAAACTACATATTAAAGTTTGAGGACAAACTTTATGGTGGCTTGAAAAGCCGAGTCTGAAAGTTTGAGGTGGTTTTAAAGTGTAAATAGCATGTTAGTATGATTCTAGCTTGAATTAGCATGTTACTAGCATGAATTAGCATGTTATTAGCATGATTCTAGCATGAATTAGCATGTTACTAGCATGATTCTAGCATGAATTAGCATGTTGTTATCATGAATTAGCATGTTACTAGCATGATTCTAGCATGAATTAGCATGTTACTAGCATGATTCTAGCATGAATTAGCATGTTACTAGCATGATTCTAGCATGAATTAGCATGTTATCATGAATTAGCATGTTACTAGCATGATTCTAGCATGAATTAGCATGTTGTTATCATGAATTAGCATGTTACTAGCATGATTCTAGCATGAATTAGCATGTTACTAGCATGATTCTAGCATGAATTAGCATGTTATCATGAATTAGCATGTTACTAGCATGATTCTAGCATGAATTAGAATGTTGCTAGCATGATTCTAGCATGTTGTTAAAATTGAAGTTTGAACTTCACAGTGGCGCAGTGAGTAGCACAATCGCCACACAGCAAAAAGTTAGCTGGTTTGAGTCCCGGCTGGGTCAGTTGGCATTTCTATGTAGAGTTTGCATGTTCTCCCCATGTTGGTGTGGGTTTTCTCCTGGTGCTCTGGTTTCCCCCACAGTCCAAACACTTTAGGGGAATTGAATAAGCTAAATTAGCCGTAGTGTATGAGAATGAATGTGAGAGTGTGTGGGTGTTTCCCAGTGTTGGGTTGTAGCTGGAAGGGCATCCGCTGCGTAAAACATATGCTGGAATAGTTGGCGGTTCATTTCGGCAAACCCCAGATTAATGTAAGGGAAACACCCACACACTTTTGCAATTTAACTTATTTAATCCCTCTATAGCGCAAGTGTTTGGACTATGGGGGAAACCCACACCAACACGGGGAGAACATGCAAACTCAGAAATGCCAACTGACCCAGCCAGGCGATTGTGCTACCCACTCCGCCAATGTGCTGCCAACTGTCACATTTACAATTAATAATAAAACACAATCTGTCCTAATAACTAATCATGAACAATGGTTTTCTCTATTTATATAAATATTTAAATATAAAATCATTTTACATATGATTATGTATTTTATTGTTGCTATTATTTCTGTCAGCAGCAGCAGCTTTTAATCTGCATGTTGGTTTCCCATAATGCCGTGGTACCGGAAGCGTTTCGGAAGTCTGCACTGTGTATGCGGAACTGATGAAGACAGTAAATAAAACCCCACTGGCAGCTTGAACTTCATCTCAACGCACAATTGAACAGCAACGAAGATGACAAACGGTATGATTATAAACCCTCGCGATATAAGCTGAACTGACAGGAAGACTTTGAGTCTTTAAAGGGAGATTTTCATTCAGCTGGATGTGTGTGTGTGTGAGTGTGTGTGTGTGTGTGTGGACGTGGCTCACCAATGTCCGCAGCTGCTTTTAACTTCATCTTCACTGTAAACGTTTATAACGTAACTTACTTCTTTCTGAATAAAAATGTTTGTCTAGATATGAAATAGGCGTTATGAAGCCGCGTTAGCAGTCTTATTGATCTCCTTTGCTAACTTCAAAATAGTGTATTATTGCTGTTAAATCAAGAAACGGCGTTCATATTCCCTGCTGCACTGCTATTTGCATATTTTAAATCGTCAGAACACACGTCACTGTCGCTTTATATATGTACATTTATTCCTTTGTTACTGTCAGTCTGTTAACCCATTTTACTCAGTTTGTCAGCTTGATAATTACTTTTAGATAAGCTTTTTCCCATCAAAAAATCTATCTATCTATCTATCTATCTATCTATCTATCTATCTATCTATCTATCTGTCTATCTATCGGTCTATCGGTCTATCTGTCTGTCTGTCTGTCTGTCTGTCTGTCTGTCTGTCTGTCTGTCTGTCTATCTATCTATCTATCTATCTGTCTGTCTGTCTGTCTATCTATCTATCTATCTATCTATCTATCTATCTGTCTGTCTGTCTGTCTGTCTATCGGTCTATCTGTCTGTCTGTCTATCTGTGTATCTATCTGTCTATCTATCTCTATCTATCTATCTATCTGTCTATCTATCTATCTATCTATCTATCTATCTATCTATCTATCTATCTATCTATCTATCTATCTATCTATCTGTCTATCTATCTATCTATCTATCTATCTATCTATCTATCTATCTATCTGTCTGTCTGTCTGTCTATCGGTCTATCTGTCTGTCTGTCTATCTGTGTATCTATCTGTCTATCTATCTCTATCTATCTATCTATCTATCTATCTATCTGTCTATCTATCTATCTGTCTATCTGTCTATCTGTCTATCTATCTATCTATCTATCTATCTATCTATCTATCTATCTATCTATCTATCTATCTATCGTCTGTCTGTCTGTCTGTCTGTCTGTCTGTCTGTCTGTCTGTCTGTCTGTCTGTCTGTCTGTCTATCTATCTATCTATCTATCTATCTATCTATCTATCTATCTGTCTATCGGTCTATCTATCAGTCTATCTATCTATCTATCTATCTATCTATCTATCTATCTATCTATCTATCTATCTATCTATCTATCCATCTATCCATCTATCTATCCATCTATCGGTCTATCTATCTATCTATCTATCCATCTATCCATCTATCCATCTGTCTGTCTGTCTGTCTGTCTGTCTGTCTGTCTGTCTGTCTGTCTGTCTGTCTATCTATCTATCTATCTATCTATCTATCTATCTATCCATCTATCTATCCATCTATCCATCTATCTACTTTTTCAAACTGTTTTCATCCATCCATCCATCTTTATCATAGACTATTGTTGCTGGTATTAATATTATAAACAATGAAATATGTGTATAAACAACTTGGAGACAGACAGACATGCTCATGCACATATATACATACATACATACATAGAGACAGAGGCATACACACACACACACACACACACACACGCAATCACACAAATGTCTAACCATACAAACAAGCCAATTTGAAAATTCAGAGTTTCTGTTGATGATTTACTAGGAAAGTGTTGGGTTGAAATGTTAACATTTGTTAACATTTATCCTTCACAATTTCACATAAAACACTGCATTTGTTTTTCCCTATGACAAATGGGTTACAACAGCAAATTTTTATAAAAAAAAAAATTGTTTGTTGTGCCAAACACTTATTTCTTCTCAAGTTTAAACGTTGATATTGTGTTGTCGAAATCAAAAAAATCTAAAAAAAAAAAAAAAAAAAAGGAACAAGCATTTCATTTTTGGTTATTATGACTGATTGTCAATTGTCCAAATGACAACAGTTTAATAAATTGTATTCAACTTTTTAAATATTGAATTGTTTCCCGAAGCGTACCCGTAAAAAAAATAACAAAACAAAAAACCTTCCATTGTTGTAGTGTTGGGGCGAGACCGCGGCTCAGTGGTTAGCACTGTCGCCTCACAGCAAGAATGTCGCTGGTTTGAATCCTATCTGGGCCAGTTGGCATTTCCGTGTGGAGTTTGCATGTTCTCCCAGTGTTGGCGTAGGTTTCCTCCGGGTCTTCCGGTTTCCCCCACAGTCCAAACACATGCGCTATAGGGGAATTGAATAAACTAAATTGGTCGTAGTGTACGAGTGTGTGAATAAGTGTGTTTGGGTGTTTCCCAGTACTGGGTTGCAGCTGGAAGGGCATCCGCTGTGTAATACATATGCTGGAATAGTTGGTGGTTCATTCCGCTGTGGCGACCCCTGTTGAATAAAGGGACTAACCTGAAGGAAAATAAATAAATGAATGTTGAAGTGTTTCTTCCTCAAATATTAGTTTTAGAATTATTTATATATTTTACACCGATGTTTTTGTAATAATGGAGGTAATGATGATTGTGATGTTTATTGTGTTCATAGTCTACTCTTTCGATGGCATTCTTGTGTTTGGGCTTCTGTTCATTTGCACGTGTGCATACCTGAAGAAGGTTCCTCGTCTCAACAGCTGGCTCCTGTCGGAGAAGAAAGGTGTGTGGGGAGTCTTTTATAAAGGTGAGAGGTCTTCTATTAGCCATTATGTTTCCATTAACCATTGTTTTGCTACTAAATTCATTCCAAAAATCAATAAATAGGTTTATTATATCTCACTTAACCCACTATTAATTATTTATATAATAACACAAGCTCTGTTGGGATGATACCAGACATGTATTCGGTTTAAACGTGGCATAATGCATTAATAAAGTTTTAGATAAAGGACTAAGATTAGACCAAATGCTGTACCTCATTAATAAATGTAATATTAGCTCTACTTCCAAGAAGAGGAATACACTAATAAATAATTTAACCCCAGCAGCATTACGTTTAAATCAAAATGTATAATCTGTATATCCAGCATTTTGCGTTCAGACAAGCTGAAGTCATTACTTAGTAACCCATTGAAGACTAATAGTGCCTGGCTTTGACTTTGCTGTGTTTCCCATTTTCAAAATAAGAGTCCCACATACAGAATAAGTGCACCAATGCTTGTTTTCCTTTATTTTCAGATGCAAATATGTTTTTTTTTTATTTGTATAATTTAAACTATTATTTAAATTGCTGTTATTTCACTTAAGAACAATCGCAGTAAGAGCTGAATGATTCTTAAACGTGCATTAAACATCACTCAGAAGTCTGCATATTTATAATCTGTATATCCTGCATTTTGCATTCTGATGAGCTGAAGTTGTTGCTTAATAATGCATGGAAAACAAATTGCAGCTGGCTTTGACTTTGCCATGTCTCGCGTTTTCAAAATAAGAGTCCCACGTTCAGAGTAACCGTACGTTCACACCGAAAGCGGCGAGAGCGTCAAAGTAGCCGGAAGTCATTCATTTTCAATGAGAGCCGGCGGCGATAGGCGACAATAAGCGGCGAGGAGCAGCGCGGCGCGTCTTCGCCGGCGTGAGCGTCGAGGAGAGTTGAAATGAAGTCAACTTTATGGTAATGAGCTATGACGCGGTTCGGCGGCAAGCAATCAGAATGAAGACGTCCACTGCTTGATAGCAGTTCAGGGAACACAGACCTGTGAACTTTGGTTCCGACCACAGTTGTTCCCAAGTGTTTGATTTTTGCGGTCGCCGGATTTCCAATTATTTACAATGTTTTCTTACAGGAACATACATTAAATAAGTTGCTGGCGAGTTACTGATGTTCATTAATGTTATATAAATTTATCTTTAAAAAGCGGGAATCTCACGCGATGTGACAGTACAAAACAGTACTGCTGCTTCAGGATATTTCAGACATATGGACACATATTGGATAAATAGAGCAAAGCCGCACCACATGCAACTTGATCTTCCATTGTTGTGTGAATTTGATAAGAAGTGCGCAACATTTTCACGCTAAAAATGTCTGCAGGAATGTAACTGATAATACTGCAACGGCTCCTTTAAGTACGAGATCAATGTAGCGAGTTTTGACGCTCTCGCCGCCTGAGCTGAAGGCAGACAGCGTTGTCGCCAGGGCGGCCAGAGCGACCTTGGACGCTCTCGCCGCTTTCGGTGTGAACGTACGGTAAGTGCACTAATGCTTGTTTTCCTTTATTTTAAGACGCAACATAAATAAAACTTATTTAAATTGCTGTTATTTAACTTCAGAAAAATCGCGGTAAGAGCTGAATGATGCTTAAACGTGCATTAATTGCATTACTCAGAAGTCTACAAATTTATAATCCGTATATCCTGCATTTTGCATTCTGACGAGCTGAAGTCGTTGCTTAGTAACACATAGAAAACAAATTGAGGCTGGCTTTGACTTTGCTGCGTCTCCTGGTTTCAAAATAAGAGTCCCACATACAGAGTAAGTGCACCAATGCTTGTTTTGTCTTGGAAGCACATTGTTTTGTTATGAATGTTTATAAATAAAGCTATTATTGCAATTGCTTTTGTTTCACTTCAGAAAAATCACAGTAGGAGCAGAGCGATGCTTAAATGTGCATTAAACATGATGCGCAGAACTCTACACATTTATAATCTGTATATCCTGCATTTTGCGTTCTGATGAGGTGAAGTTATGGCTTAGTAGCACAAAGAAATCTAATTGTGTCTGGGTTTGACTGCTGGATTTTCTGTTTTCAAAATAAGAGTCCCATATACAGAGTAAGTGCACCATGGCTTGTTTTTCTTCATTTTCAGAGACGCATTGCTTTTGGTTTTATTTTAAATGTTTACAATTGAAACTATTTTAATATTATTTCACTATTATTTTGACTTTGATGTGTCTCCCATTTTTTAAAATAAGAGTCCCATGTTCCTAAAATGTAATAATAAATGTTAGCAGGTATGCAGGTGTGTTTTTGATTCTCAATTTTAGAGTAACGGAAACATGCCTAGTAATGTTTTCCTGACGCCGTTTGTGTGTTTCTCCACAGCTGCGGTGATCGGCACACGGCTGCACGTCGTTGTGGCGGCGTCCTGTTTGTGTATGGCTTTTTACCTCATATTTCTCAAATGACTTGGATGAATCAGTACTGGACTGTGAGATGCTGATGGACATGCGGTGCGGTCAGGAGTCGCCAGCAGATGGGGACGATGCACAGAATCCCTCCTCCAGCTGCGGTTTAGCCCTCTTTCAAGATCTGCTTTCCACTTTTGTAAATGTGTAACTTAAAAATAGAGTCTGAAGGGGAATTGGGTCTCAGATCAGGGTCATTTCTGCTGGATGTGGAGCATCTGCTTATGGACTTCACACATGGTTTGTGGTGTCGTTCTCTCAAACATGCACATTTATGATTGAGCTTATGGGATAATGAAGGCAGAATCAAAGTTAATTTGTACAGAATAACATTTTATAGCAGTGTCTTTTCATTAGTTAGTTTTTATCATAAATAGCTTACATCACTGGTGTCAAACTCAGTTCCTGGAGGGCCGCAGCTATCACAGTTTAGTGATAAACACACATAATCAAACCAATTGAGTCCTTCAGGATTGTTTGAAATGTACAGGTGAGTGTGTTGGAGCATGGTTGGACACTAAACTGTGCAGGGCAGCAGTTTGACACCCCTGGCTTACGTTATCACTTAAAGCAGGGATGTCAAACTCAATTCCTAGAGGGCCGCAGCTCTGCACAGTTTAGTGCCAACCCTAATTAAACACACCTGATCAAACTAATTTAATCCTTCAGGCTTGTTTGAAACCTGCAGGTAAGTGTGTTGGAGCAGGGTTGGACTAAACTGTGCAGGGCTGCGGCCCTCTAGGAATTGAGTTTGACATCCCTGACTTAAAGGGGCAGTTCACACACAAATTAAAATGGTCATCATTTACTCATGCTTCTAAATCTGCTTGATTTCGTTTTTCTGTTGAACACAATAGAAGATAATTTGAAGAATGTTACAAATTGGTAGCCGTTAACATCCATGGTATCTCTTTATCCTACTATTAATGCCAATGACTTCCAGTCTTCTTAAATATATACCTTTTTATTGGTTCAACAACACAAGATAAACGTTGTAAAGGTTTGAAATCACTCAAGAGTGAGTAAATGTCAATGTTTGTGTGAACTATCCCTTTAAATTACCCCAGATGTTTATAAGGAAACATGATATAGTTTCATGCAGAGTGAAAAGGAAACCTAAATGTGATTTTTAGTTTAGGATATAGCTCAAAACTACACATGTATGAACTTATTTTCTTGATGAGACATATTCAGTAGTATATTTGAAAGTAAATCATCCTGGCACACACCATGTAGTTGCATAGCATGTCTATTCATATCAGTTTGATCAATACACAGCAAAGTTTATTAACAAAAATCACTTTTTCTTTTAAAAAAACATGCGTCTTACAGTAAATATAGATGATAATGGTTCATTCCTGAGGTTATGGCTCCGGAATATCAAGAGGATGGTATGATATTAATTTAAAAATCATACTTGCAATAGAGAAACACACTACAGATTGAATCCTACACATTTATATGACTTTTTTCTGATTGTAAACACTCTGATGATTCTGTATGTTTCAGCACCATGATGCTCAGTGTGTCAACACTTTACACCGCACAAAAATACACAAGCCAAGATGTTCTGTAGTATTTATGCCTTTAGTTGTGTGTGTTACAGCAGCCTATCGTCGTTTCCTTACGTATTTAAACTTGGTTCAGCTTGTAAATATCTGCAGTCGTGCTCTGAAACTGCTAGCAAGTGATAGTTATTGGGTGTTTCATATTTGTAGACATGTGGACTCTAATAAATATTTGATATCAAACCCTATGCAACGAAATACTAAAGCGTGGTATAGTCTTTTTTTTGGGTTGGTTTTCAAAGTCATGCATTTTTAAATACTAAAGTCATTTGGAAAATGGTGTTTAAATGATTAAGTACAAATAATGAAATGATCCTTTTTATTTTTTTCATAATTTTTTTTAGGGGTTTTTCACCTTTATTTTGATAGGACAGTAGAGAATTCAGACAAGAAAGCACTGGGAGCAGAGAGAGGGAAAGGATCGGCAAAGGACCTTTTAAAAGGATTCTTTTAAAGTTGGAGAGCACGATGGCTCAGTGGTTAGCGCTGTCACCTCACAGCAAGAAGGTCGCTGGTTTGAGTCCCTGCCTGGCCAGTTGGCTTCTCTGTGTGGAGTTTGCATGTTCTCCTCCTCTTGGTGTGGGTTTCCTCCAGGTGCTCCAGTTTCCCCCACAGTCCAAACACATGCGCTATAGGGGAAATGAATAAACACAATTGCCCATAGTGTATAAGTGTGTGTATGGATGCTTCCCAGAAATTAGTTGCAGCTGGAAGGGCATCCGGTGTGTAAAACCAACTATGTTGGTGGTTCATTCTGCTGTGGCAACCCCTGATTAATAAAGGGACTAAGTCGAAGGAAAATGAATGACTGAATGATACTGTAGTAATTTAAGGTCAACTCTTTATATATATATATATATTTATTTATTTATTTATTTATTTATTTATTTATTATAATACTCCAAAAACACTTTATGGAGAGGTTATCTATAATTTAATGGATTAACTTTTGTTCATCTTTATTATTATTTTACTTTTTTTCTGTTTTTTTTTTTCTGTTTTTTTGCCTTTATTTGATAAGCAAAACTAATTAAAGGTATTTTAGAATTTTCACATTTCATTGTAATTTCCTTTCATAAATCTATTTTGCATCAGCTAAAAAAGTTGGAAAGGCTTATTTTTTTTACAAATATTTTTTTCTTTTGAGTATTGACTGTATACTGATTATAATAATCATTTGGTTGTATTGGTATGGATATGACCATGAGAGTTTGTTCTATATGTATATACTGAGGTATTTGTATGTGTATGCATAATTGGTAGTTTAATTTGTTCTTTAAATGTTTTTTCAAATTCATTTTCCTTCGGCTTAGTCCCTTGTTTATCAGGTGCTGCCACAGCAGAATTAACCGCCAACTCATTTAGCATGTTTTACCCAGCGGATGCCCTTCCAGCTGCAACCCATCACTGGAAAACACCCATACACTCCTATTCACACACACACATACACTACATTTATACACATACCCAGCCGAAGCTCGAACCAGCGAACCTCGCTTTCCACTGGGCCACCGCGCCGCCCAAACTACATCACTATATTTAAATAAAACCATTAAAATTAAAACAGTGAGCAGTGTCGGTGTTTGACCTGCAGATGTCCTCGGTGTTCACTGTTCTGATAGTTTAGCGTTCTGAAGTGGTGAATCAATTTTTGAGTCGATTCAGTTGATTCACAGACTCGGTTCGTTCTCGGTCATTTCTTTGTTCGAGTTTTCTTTGTTATTGTCCTTTAATTTGTTGTTCTGTATTGTAAATTTGATGATCAGGCTTTTTTTTACTAAATGTTTTTAAGCAGTGTTTAAATAATTTGATCATTTATATGATAAAAATATTAATTATTATTAATAATAATAACAATAATAAACAGTATTTGGACATAATATTATTATAAATAATTATGACACAAATACAAATTTTATTATTGAAAAATACAATTTCATTATGCATTTAATTTTTTTTACACCCTTTAGTCATTAGCCATTAGTCAGTTGTCAATATATTAAAGTTTTTTTTAATTTTCTTTAAATTGCAGAAACAAACAAGAACATGCAAACAACAGCAAAAATAAAATACTATTACAATGACGACAGGATTTATCATGCATTATATATATACCAGCCACATTATTAGGTACACCATACTAGTATAGGGTTGGACCCCGTTTTTCCTTCAGATCTGCCTTAATCCTTCGTGGCAGAGATTCAACAAGCTACTGGAAATTATCCTGAGATTTTGCTCCATATTGACATGATAGCATCACACAGTTGCTGCAGATTTGTCGGCTGCACATCCATGATACCAATCTCCCGTTTCACCACATCCCAAAGGTGCTCTATTGGATTGAGCTCTGGTTGCTGTGGAGACCATTTGAGTACAGTGAACTCATTGACATGTTCAAGAAACCAGTCTGAGATGATTCACGCTTTATGACATGGCGCGTTATCCTGTTGGAAGCAGCCATCAGAAGATGGAGACACTGTGCTCATAAAGGGATGTACATGGTCAGCAACAATACTCAGGTAGGTTGTGGCGTTGACATGATGCTAAATTGGTACTAATGGGCCCAAAGTGTGCCAAGAAAATCTCCCCCACACCATTACACCACCAGCAGCAGCCTGAACCACTGATACAAGGCAGGATGGGAACATGCTTTCATGTTGTTGAGGCCAAATTCTGACCCGAGCATCTGAATGCTGCAGCAGAAATGGAGACTCATCAGAGCAGGCAACGTTTCTCCAATCTTCTATTGTCCAGTTTTGGTGAGTCTGTGTGAATTGTAGCCTCAGTTTCCTGTTCTTAGCTGACAGGAGCGGCACCTGGTGTGCTCTTCTGCTGCTGTAGCCCATCCGCCTCAAGGTTGGACGTGTTGTGTGTTCAGAGATGCTCTTCTGCAGACCTTGGTTGTATCGAGTGATTATTTGAGTTACTTTTGCCTTTCTATCAGCTGGAACCAGTCTGGCCATTCTCCTCTGACCTCTGGCATCAACAAGGCATTTGCACCCACAGAACTGCCGCTCACTGGAAATTTACTCTTTTTCAGACCATTTTCTGTAAACCCTAGAGATGGTTGTGTGTGAAAATCCCAGTAGATCAGCAGTTTCTGAAATACTCAGACCAGCTCATCTGGCACCAACAACCATGTTCAAAGCCACTTAAATCCCCCTTCTTCCCCCATTCTGATGCTTGGGCTGAACTGCAGCAGATCGTCTTGACCATGTCTACATGCCTAAATGCATTGAGTTGCTGCTATGTGATTGGCTGATTAGAAATTTGCATTACCAAGCAGTTGGACGGTGTACCTAATAAAGTGGCCGGTGTGTATAAGTATGTCATCACAAAAAACTACATAAATCTGAAGTAGAAGACTTTCTCTCTTCTCATATTTAATCACACCACCTTTTCAAACTCTTCTAAAGTTCTTTCATTTCATTGTTTACATAATAAACTCAGTTTACTATGTAGTATTGTGTGTGTGTGTGTGTGTGTGTGTGTGTGTGTGTGTGTGTGTGCGTGTGTGTGTGTGTGCGCGTGTGTGTGTGTGTGTGTGTGTGTGTGTGTGTGTGTGTGTGTGTGTGTGTGTGTGTGTGTGCAAGTTCTGAGTTGCCTTCACAATCTGCAAAAAGCATCTTCCCGTTCTCGCGAGATTTGGAGAGAAGTCCCGAGAGTTGACCTTATGAAGTGACGTCAAGTGAGTTCGTCAGAGGAGAACCTGTAACAGGAAAAAACCCGAGAGAAATCCACAGAAGAAACCTCACGCTTTTCCACGCAGCGGCTCCTCAAGCATCGCAGCCGGAGTTTGTGCGTTTTCCCGGAGCGCTCTCATGCACGCGGACGGGCTCGTGTACGCGGAGCTCGCGCTTTTGTTGAGTTAACGTAGTTTTTGTTTATATTATCTGCGCGCACCGACATCAGAAGTTTCCAGTCCTCTACAGGAATGTCCCAGAAGGCGAGACCCACTTTTTATCGACAGGAGCTCAATAAGACCATATGGGAGGTTCCGGAGCGGTACCAGAATTTATCACCCGTGGGTTCTGGAGCTTATGGATCCGTATGGTAAGTATATGTTTTCTGGCTGTCGTGTGTGGAGCTCTTGCATAACCACATCTGGCCGCTCGGGCCTCGCCGTTTATTATTATTAACGTTATTATGATTGTTTAACGAGTCGTGCTGCAAAGATGAGGCAGATAACAGTGTCTTTGCACACTGAGATTGATCCTGCAGGATTGCATTGCATCTGTTTGTTTTGCAGAAGTCGCTGTTTGCTGTCACATGATGTGTGTTCAGTATATTTTAGGCTTTTATTAACAGTCATGATCCTGCTATACTGCATTTTTTACTCTTCGTTGGCCCTTGGTGCATTTTTATGTGCATTTTGTGATTTAATACAAAAATGTAATTAAATATTAATTATACATGCTCGATTTTGGGTTACCATTGTGTTAAACTGCATTTGCATGCGTTGAAAGGTATTTAGCATACGTAATTTAGTGTAATAAAACATCAATTGTTATCATTTATTGCTGTTATTATTGTTAGTGAGTTACGTTATCTATGATGCATTAATAATTAAGCAATAAAGGAGTAATTGTTTAGCAAAAAATATTTTGTAAATTAATTAAATATTCATAACACATGCTAGATTTTTTTTTAGAATAATGTTAACTTAAAATAAATTGATAATCAAGCAGTAAAAGAGTAATTATTTTGAGAATAAGCTATGAAATTTAAGGATTTATTATAAATTTATTATTGATTCTTATTAATTTGTAGTTTATGATTAATGCTTATTTAATGCTTTATAATTATTTTTTTATTAACGTTTATTAATGCTTTATAATTTAAGTATTTCTTAGTAATTATTATTAATGTTTATTAATGCTTTATAATTTTGGCATTTATTAGTAATTATTATTAATGCTTAATTAATGCTTTATAATTTAAGCATTTATTAGTAATTATTATTCATTCTGATTAATGTATCATTTATTATTAATGATTATTAATTATTTGTAATTTAAGCATTTATTATGTTTTATTATTAATGCTTATTGATGCTTTATTAGCTTTCATTATTAATTATGAATGCTTATTAATGCTTTATAATTTAAGCATTTCTTATTAATTTATCATTAATTCTTATTAATGTGTCATTTATTATTAATGCTTAAGTAATGTTTTGTCATTTTAATTATGAATTATTATTAATTCTTATTGCTTTATAATTGAGTATTTATTATTAACTATTATTCATGCTAAATTAATGCTTTATAGTTTAAGCATCATTTATTGTTAATTATTATTAATGCTTTGCGATTTAAGCATTTCTTAATAATTGTTATTAATGCTTAATTAATGCTTTATAATTTAAGCATTTATTTTTTAATATTTGTTTATATATATATATATATATATATATATATATATATATATATATATATATATATATATATATATATATAATTTTTTTATTAGTTATTTTAAATAGTTGTTAAACATTTTAATATGCGTAAATCAGTGTATAAAAACATACATTTTTAATGTGGTTATTATTAGTAATCAGTGTGTGCATAACAATACAAAAAATGCATTTAATAATATGCACAATAAATTAATTATCAGCAATTATTTATTAAAAATTATTTATTGAACTATTCATATATTTTTTTTTAAATCAATCACCATATACAATAAATAATCCGCTCACAAATATTTTTTTAACAATTTTTAAAAGGTGGGAAAAAATTATAAATTATCCAGTACCAAAGTTTTAAAGCAATTCCACGAAAAAAAAATCAAGTTTGAAAGAATTATTTATGCCTAAATCAGAAAATATAAATGAGCAAGCCACATGTGAATTTGAAATGAAGTTTCTGAGCACATGTGAGATGAAGGCCTCGATGTTGTGCATGAGTCGAACAGGATGATGTCACTCTCTGACTCATAACTTCAGGATTAGGTGGTCTCCTCAGCGCTCCGGTGGGTTAGTCATGCTGTTTGCAATACTACATCATTTACATCCAGAACTCTAAAGCAGTGATTTTCCTTCAGGTCCCAGACTTTACATTAGACACCCAGTGCTGATTGCAGACTCTGCTGGAAATGCATTGATTTTGCTTTGTGTGTGTGTGTGTGTGTGTGTGTGTGTGTGTTTAGCTAATGCTAGGCTTGATAAGAGTAAAACATTCACTGTGTGGCTTTTGCACTGTTAACAATTTTAGTAAATTACACAATATTTAACTGCATTAATACTGTTATATGACAATTATATGTGCTTAATTTTACAGTAGGCCAGTTATGCAATATGTTACTGTATTTAAAAGTTGCATTGTGAACATTACATGTTTGCAATGCAAATATTTTGCTATGTTATTATACAATAAAAAACATATTGTATAAAGATATGCAATACTGCACACAGCAATGTAAATAATGCTGTAAATGTAAATACAGTATTTTTGCTGTAATTGGGTATATGCCGAGTTAGTGTTCTTCCCATACTGATCAATTTCCGGTGTAATATTTAGCTGTATTGTATGCTGGGCCTGTAATCAATTATTTTTATAAAGTGTTTTATATTTATTAAAAATACAAATTTCTCTTAATTTCTGTTTAACGGAGAGCAGATTTCTTCAGCACATTTCTAATCATAATAGTTTTAATAACTCGTCTCTAATAACTGATTTATTTTCTCTTTGTCATGATGACAGTAAATAATATTAGACTAGTTATTTTTCAAGACACTAGTATTCAGCTTAAAGTGACATTTAAAGGCTTAACTAGGTTAATTAGGGTAACTAGGCAGGTTAGGGTAATTAGGCAAGTTATTGTATAATGATGAAAAATGTGTGTAAAAAAACTGAATAATTTTGACCTTAAAATAGTGTTTAAAAAATTTAAAAACTGCTTTTATTCTAGCCAAAATAAAACAAGTAAGACTTTTTCCAGAAGAAAAAATATTATCAGACATACTGTGAACATTTCCTTGCCCTGTTAAACCTCATTTGGGAAATATTTAACAAAGATAAAAAAGTTCAAAGGGGGGCTAAAATTTCTGACTTCAACTGTATATTTGGCCTGAATTTCTGAACAACAGAAGAAAATAATCTTATTTGTATGAACAGATTTTTCAAGTCTATGCTGAAATGTTAAAAAAGATTCAAATGTTTGTGTTCAGTGTATACGTTTTAATTAGTTGAATTTACATGAAAGTTACTATATCGTGGCAAAAGTGATATACTATATCGTGCAAGTCCTTTTATAACGATAAAAAAGCAATTCTTTAGGAGGCTAATAATATTACCTTCAAAAATATATATTTTTTAAATTTCAAAGCTGCTTTTATTTCAGCTGAAGCAAATAAAATAAAAATATATATAGTTTAGAAAAATATACACTACCTGACAAAAGTCTTGTCGCCTATCCAAGCTTTAGGATCAGCAAATAATAACTTGACTTCTAGTTGATCATTTGGAATCAGAAGTGGCTTATATGAAAGGCGAAGGCCTCTAGATTACACTTATTTTAGCACAATAAAATATGATCATGTCTTGATTTTAAATGATTTCATTAGGACAGTAATGTCTGACTCTGCTAAGACTAAAGTCTCATCACAGAACAGAAATAATGTCCAGTATAGAATATAAAGTCCTGCTGCAGTGGAGACAGAATGAATATTGTGTCTGACTCCATCATGAGCTTGGAGGACTGCATCTATACATCTCTGAGTCAAATCACTGATTAATAAAGTCATCTGGAATGGCAAAGAAAGCGTTCCTGCAGGACTCCCAGAGCTCATCAAGAGTCTTTGTGTTCATCTTCAATGCCTTCTCCTTCATCTTACCCCAGACATGCTCAATAATGTTCATGTCTGGTGACTGGGCTGGCCAATCCTGGTGCACTTTGCAGTGGCTAGCGCAACATCCGAAGCTAAAGAAACCAACGCAAACATCGATAAAAACCAAGAGAGTACAATTATGGATGCAATCGCAAGTATGAGAGAAGACTTCTCAATCAAATTTACGGGGATTTTCTCAGCCATACAGAAGGTAAAACAAGAGGTCAAAAGCTTTTCAAACATATTAACCACGGCAGAACAGGGCAAGGACTGTCCATTCAGGGTTACTTACATATTCCTGGACAGTCCCTAATAATGTGGGCTTGTCCTTTCCTAGCGGTGTCCTCTGTCAGGGATATAAATAGAGCTGCAGTGTGTTTGTTCCCAGGACATTTGAGTCTGGTAAATGGAGCAGTTTGAGTGTGTTCAACAACATCAGTCATCAGTCATCACTTCTTCTGGAAGCTGTGGTGTCCTCGACACGTGTTTCTGACATACAGGAAACACACTCTTTAAAAACCTCGTCATGACTCATAAGAACTGCTTAAAGGGGCAGTTCACCCAAAAATGTCCTGGTAATGCATTCAACCAAAGCTTATCCAAAATGTACAGGTGAAGTCCTCCTGTGAAATTTTCCAGATGATGTTTAACAGAGTAAGAAAATGTATCTCCTATAATATTTTTTTCTGCTGGAGATAGTCTTATTTGTTTTATTTTGGCTAGAATAAAAGCTTTGTAATTAATTTAAACAATTTTAAGGTCAATATTATTAGCCTTCTTAAGCAATATTTGTTTGCAATTGTCTACAGAACAAACCGCTGTTATAAAATGACTTGCCTAAGAACCCTAACTTGCCTAATTAACCTATTAAGTCTTTAAATGTCACTTTAAGCTGAATACTAGTATCTTGAAAAATATTATGTGCTGTCCTCATGGCAAAGATAAAAGAAATAATTTCTTTAACATATGAGATTGTGTAAGAGGTCCCAGGTTCAGATCCAGAACGAGCCCCCAAATGTTGCAGCCGGCTCCAAATTATAGCATAAGAGAGACAATGCTGACTTGAATGCTTGTGCATTCGTCATCAAAAGTGATGGGACTATATGGAGGCAGATCAGTCTCAAAAGTAATACATTTACAAAATTACGAATTACGAATTTACAAAACGAATTCGTAAATTTACAAAACACAATTCATAAATATGCAAATCCAATTTAGA